AGCTGTGGCCTCTTTCTGGTAGAGCCTGCAGTCTCTGTTTAACCCTTAGAGTTACCGCCAAGCATGCGGTCATTTATTTGAAGTGTTTCTGACTCATAGCTCAGTGAAATGAGTGGAGTGATTGTGTAGAAAGGGCTGTTTTTAAGCTTTCAATCCAAACCATATTTGTGTTTGTGAGTAAAAGAGTAAAAGAGGAAATATTTTATTATGATTTGAATTTGGTGAAGTTGCGGTCATGTGTGCAGTCTTATTTTGCAGAAAGAAAAATCATTTTTTACTTTTTTTTTTTTGCCATGTTTTTGTCATTTCTTTACTAAACAAATTTTAATGTAACTGTGTAATTAATTATGAAGTTACATATGAATAGTGTAATAGAATAACAGCTAGACTTTCAGGGTTTAAAACTATTGATCTGAGTTGGATATTTAATACTACTATTTAATACTATTAATAGCAATTCTATTACTGCTGATTAATACTATTAATTAGTAGCGTACTGTTAATTAATACTATTAGTACTATTAATTAATAACAACAGCATGATGATAATAACTCTGTACTTCAAGGGCGTAAAGCTGTTTATCGATTTGAGTAGGATACTTATCCGTGCCTTCCCCCCGAGGTCTGCTTATGATATTTATGTGGCTTCATTCATCTTTTCATGCCACTTTTCCAACCTCTGTTTAATATTAAGGGATAGATGCAGTTTTGTCACTGTGCCTTTAAGACTGATATATGTAAATGAGCTCTGTTCTGATCGGCTGCTCTGTATTGTGCTTCGTTCAAAAAGCCATCCAGGCTGAAACACTCTTTTAGTAAAATCGATGTGAATGGGCGGAGCTAAACTGCTGTAGACTGAATATGTGAATGTCATTACATACGTGTTTGTAATTGATCTCTTCAGAATATGGGCCCTTAAATCATGGGTTACTGGAACACTGAGTGTGTTTACATGCACGTAATAATCCGATAACTGCAGAAAATCAGATTTTGTCAGTAATCCGATTAACGCGTTTACATGCACTTGAGTAATCAGATAAGGGAGACTCCAGATCTACATGAATCAGACAGTAATCAGATTTCTGCTTTACAACCAGCCAATAAACTCACAGAAGAAGATGCCGCGGCTTTTTTAAAACATCGCCACTTTACCTGGAAATATGAACATACATCATCTAGAAGATGAAGAATATTTAAATCCTTCATTTCGTCAAGCCTGTATTTGGTTTCAGCGTTGCTCCAAAAGTGTTTTGCTGCGTCTCACAGCGACGCCGCTCGCCTATTTCCGGTACCACCGTCTGTTTTCGCACATGCTCAGACTGAGAAATCCGAAAGAAATCAGAGTAAGAGTTCACATGTACTGAGAAATCTGATTACTGAGCTAAAATCCAGCCTCTTTATCAGATTTCTTAATCGGATTTCTAGACCTTACCCTGATCTAAGAAATCGGTGTGTGCTGTTTACATGACCATTTGAATAATCAGATAACTGCAGAGGTCTGACTATGATCGGATTATTGAGTGCATGTAAATGCCCTCACTGTGAGCTCTGTGCAGCTCTGAGTATGTGTTGTCCTGTGATGATCAGATGGCTAAGCTTTGGTGTGTTTTTTGCTCAGAATTCCAGGTGGATCTGACTCTGGATCGTCTGAAGCAGAAAGGAGCTATTAAGCGTGTTCTGTTCATGCACACTCGACTGCCTCAGTACACCAAGTTCACCACCGTGTCCAACGGTCAGGGGCCGTCCTGTGAGGAGCTGCAAGCATATCTCATAGTGAGTGTAATATTAAACACAGTCTTATCTCATAGTGAGTAATATTAAAGTCTTATCTCATAATGAATAATATTAAACAGTCTTATCTCATAGTGAGTGTAATATTAACACAGTCTAATCTCATAGTAGTGCAATATTAGTCTTATCTCATAGTGAGTAATATTAAAGTCTTATCTCATAGTCAGTCATATTAAATAGTCTTATCACATAGTGAGTGTAATAACAGCCTTATCTCAGAGTAATATTAACACAATCTTCTCATAATGAGTATAATATTAACACAGTCTGATCTAATACTGAATAATATTAAACAGTCTTATCTCATAGTGAGAGTAATATTGAGTCTTATCTCATAGTAATGCAATATTAAGTCTTATCTCATAGTCAGAGGAGTATTAGCAGTCTTATCTCATAGTGAGAGTAATATTAACACTCTTATCTCAGTGAGTATAATATTAACACAATCTTATCTCATAGTAAGTAATATTAAACAGTCTTATCTCATAGTGAGTAATATTACACAGTCTTATCTCATAGTGAGTATGATATTAACAGTCTTATCTCATAGTATGATAACACAGTCTTATCTCATAGTGTAATATTGACAGTCTTATCTCAGTGAGTAATATTGACAGTCTTATCTCATAGTGAGTATGATATTAAGTCTTATCTCAGTGAGTGTACTGTTAACAGTCTTATCTCATAGTCAGTATGATATTAAGTCTTATCTCATAGTGAGTATGATATTAACAGTCTTATCTCAGTGAGTATAATGTTAACAGTCTCATCTCAGTGAGTGTAATTTTAAGTCTTATCTCATAATGAGTGTAATGTTAACACAGTCTTATCTCATAGTGCGTGTAATGTTAACACTGTCTTATCTCATGGTGAGTGTAATGTTAACACAGTCTCATCTCAGTGAGTGTAATGTTAACAGTCTTATCTCATAGTGAGTATAATATTAAGTCTTATCTCAGTGAGTGTAATGTTAACAGTCTTATCTCATAGTGATTATGATATTAACACAGTCTTATCTCATAGTGAGTATAATATTAAGTCTTATCTCAGTGAGTGTAATGTTGACAGTCTTATCTCATAGTGAGTGTAATATTAAGTCTTATCTCATAGTGAGTATAATATTAAGTCTTATAGTGAGTGTAATGTTGACAGTCTTATCTCATAGTGAGTATAATATTAAGTCTTATCTTAGTGAGTGTAATGTTGACAGTCTTATCTCATAGTGAGTATAATATTAAGTCTTATCTCATAGTGAGTATAATATTAACACAGTCTTATCTCATAGCGAGTGTTAACGGTCTTATCTCATAGTACGTATGATATTAACACAGTCTTATCTCATAGTGAGTATGATATTAACAGTCTTATCTCATAGCGAGTGTTAACGGTCTTATCTCATAGTGCGTATGATATTAACACAGTCTTATCTCATAGTTAGTGTAATATTAACAGTCTTATCTCGTAGCGAGTGTTAACGGTCTTATCTCATAGTACGTATGATATTAACACAGTCTTATCTCATAGTGAGTATGATATTAACAGTCTTATCTCATAGCGAGTGTTAACGGTCTTATCTCATAGTGCGTATGATATTAACACAGTCTTATCTCATAGTGAGTGTAATATTAACAGTCTTATCTCATCGTCCGTAATATTAACACAGTCTTATTTCAAAGTGAGCATAACAATATCATCCTATCTAAATCTCCTAGTGAGTGTATATATAATGCATATTAATAACGCACATACAAACATAAGTAAATACACAATACATAGTAAAATATATAATACATAATACATTATGTAATAAAACTCATCAAAACACAAGCTAATATGAATAATAATAATAATTTTCTCATAGTTAGTATGCCAATAATACCCTCTTATTTCACAGTGATTATAACCGTAAAACCATCTTTTCTCATAGTGAGTATAAAAGTAGTTCCGTCTTATTTCAAACGGAGTAAAATAAAAATACAGACTTGTCTCATGATGAGTATATAAGAAAAACTGGCCTGTCTCACAGTCAGTGAAGTAATAATGCATCTCATCTCATAGTGCATGTAAAAGTAGCAATAATGCCGGCGAATCTCAGAGTAAATAAAGGTGAATCTTGAATATTTACTATAAAACTGTCTTGTCTGAGTTGAAACGAGCCGCCACCTCATGAAGGGAGGCACCATTTTTAGTACAGCTGCTCTGAGCTCTGCGCTTTTGAAGGCAAAGCGGTGTGGTGTGATTAAATCAGCCGTGTGCTGTGAGCGCTGTGGTGGCACAGAGCCCAGCTCTCCAACACACACAGCTATTTACTTTTTAAAGGTAAAATGCATTGTAGAACCGGAGAGGTTTGACCTGAAAAGGCAGTGAAACTTTTTTTTTTTCTTCTCTCTCTCTCTCTGTGTGGACTTAAAAGAGCATGAAGCTATTCAGAGAGAAATTCCCAAAGCCTGAACTCATAACCACTCCCTTTCCCCTCTCTTTAACCCTTTCTCTCTCTCTCTCTATCTCTCTCTCTCTTTAACTTTATTGGCATGAATTGTAATGAAAGGCTGTTGCCAAAGCAATAAATAGAATACTTAATATGGGGATATTAAGAAAAAAAACAGTGTTTAAAATTCTCTCTCTCTCTCTCTCTCTCTCTCTCAGGATGACTCTGAGTTTAGAGATAAGATCACTCCTATCTCCATATTTATGGAGTACAGTCTGGACTATGAGAGTGCGATGGATAAAACTGGCCTTCAGCCCATCCTGGACCAGTCCACCCCCGCCAACCTGACCAAACAGGTGTGTGACAGTGTGTCTGTGGATGTGTGTGTGGTAGGGATGCACCAAAAACCTTTCATCTCAAAATGATCAGAAGTGACATTGTCCTTTGTAGATGATTAATAAACTCTTAACAGAGTATCAGTAACACATCAACAACACATTAGTGAAGTAGCAGCAGTGAAGCATCTGAATACACTGAAGTAAATATCTTGTAGATGTTCTGTTGATACATTACTTACATTAAGTAGATGTGTTAATATGTTACTTCCATTGCGCAAAACCTTACCTTACCAACCTTACCCAACACCGAACCCTCACCCTGGACCTAATCCTAACACTAACCCTAACCTCAACCCAAAACCTAATCCTAACCATGGCCCTAATCCTAACCTTAACCTCAACCCAAAACCTTATCCTAACCCTTACCCTGGACCTAATCCTAACCTTAACCTCAACCCAAAACCTTATCCTAACCCTCACCCTGGCCCAAATCCTAACCTTGACCTTAACCTCATCCCAAAACCTAATCCTAACCCTGGCCCTAATCCTAACCCTAGCCTTAACCTCAACCCAAAACCTAATCCTAACTCTCACTCTGGGTCTAATCCTAACACTAACCTTAACCCCAACCCAAAACCTAATCCTAACTCTCACTCTGGCTTTAATCCTAATCCTAACCTTAACCTCAACCCAAAACCTTATCCTAACCCTCACCCTGGCCCTAATCCTAACCTTAACCTCAACCCAAAACCTAATCCTAACTCTCACTCTGGGTCTAATCCTAACACTAACCTTAACCCCAACCCAAAACCTAATCCTAACTCTCACTCTGGCTCTAATCCTAACCCTAACCTTAACCTCAACCCAAAGCCTAATCCTAATCCTCATGCTGGCCCTAATCCTAACCCAAACCTAATCCTAACCCTCATGTTTTTGACATGTTACTGAGAGTCTGTTGAGTGGGTGTCCAGTCTTGTCCACAGAGAGCCGGTGTGGCTGCAGGTTTTCACTCAAAACGAGCTCAAGTTCACCTGATTCTACTAGTTTAATCAGCTCCTCTCAGGCGTCAAGCATTTGATCATGTGATCTCCTGATTTGCTGGAATGAAAACCTGCAGCCACACCAGCCCTTTGCGTTTAAGACTGGACACCCCGATATAAAAGGACCACTCAAAATAAAGTGTCACCGCATTTTCTATTTCATCTCGATTCTGCACCTTTTTAACCTTTAACCCAAAGCCAGGCGTGGACTAGAGGGGTATAAAGCCCCCCAGCATTGGGCTGTGGAGCAGCGGAACTGTGTTCTCTGGAGTGATGGAGCTCCATCCAATACCTTTGGGATGAGTTGTAGATCCAGAACTGACCATTCAACATCAGTACCTGACCTCACTAATGCTCAATCAAATCCTCACAGCAATGTTCCAACACCTAGTGTAAATATGCTTTATTTCAGAAGAAATGCTGGAGGAGCCGGAGTCTGGAGACTTTATCATGACTGGACGTTCTTGTCTTGCTTTGTTTTGATATTTTTGTCAGTGTTGTGCAGCCCTACACTCTTAAAGATGGTTCTTCAAGGGTTCTTTAGTAAAGAAAATGGTTCTATATAGAACCATGAACACTTAAAGAACCCTTTGCATTATTAAACAGTTCTTTGCATTGTGAAAGTGTTCTTGAATGTGCTATAGACAGTTCTCCGTAGAACTTTTTTAAAAGGGGTTCTATATGTCACCCAAAAGGGTTCTTTGATTATTACAAGCTTGACGTTGTAACAATAGAAGAACCCCTTTGGTTGCCATATAAATCTATTTTTAAAAGGGTCTGTATAGAACCATTTGCAGCAAGTTCTCCATTAGTCTGAAGAACACTTTCATGATGCAAAAAACCATATAATCATGCAAAGGGTTCTTTGAGTGTATATAGAACCATGAGCATTCAAAGAACCATTTGCATTATTAAACAGTTCTTTGCATTGTGTAAGTGTTCTTCAGATTGATGGAAAATGTGCATGAATGTGCTATACACGGTTCAACATAGAACCTTTTTAAATGGGGTTCTGTATATCACCCAAAAGGGTTCTTCGATTAGTACAAGCTTGACATCGTAACGACAGAAGAACCCTTTTGGTAGCCATATAGATCTATTTTTAAAAAGAAACCATTTACAGCACATTTCTCCATCAATCTACATAGAAAATATGAAAAGGGTTCTATAAAGCACCAAAAAGGGTTCTGCTATTGTTAAGATGTCAAGCTTGTACCAGTGGAAGAAGACTTTTTGGTGCTGTATTGAACCCTTTTCATAATGGCTCTATATAGAACCATCTACAGCATGTCCTGAAGAATAATGCAAAGAACTGTTTAATAAGGCAAAGGGTTCTTTGAGTGTTCATGGTTCTATATAGAACCATTTTAAAAGTGGTTCTGTATGTCACCCAAAAGGGTTCTTTGGTTAGTACAAGCTTGACATTGTAACGACAGAAGAACCCTTTTGGTAGCCATATAGATCCATTTTTAAAAAGGTTCTGTGTAGAACCATTTACAGCACATTTCTCTATCAATCTACATAGAAACTTTATGAAAAGGGTTCTATAAAGCACCAAAAAGGGTTCTGCTATTGTTAAAATGTCAAGCTTGTACCAAGAGAGGAAGACTTTTTGGTGCTGTATAGAACCCTTTTCATAATGGCTCTATATAGAACCATCTACAGCACGTCCTGAAGAATAATGCAAAGAACTGTTTAATAAGGCAAAGGGTTCTTTGAGTGTTCATGGTTCTATATAGAACCATTTTCCTTACTAAAGAACCCTTAAAGAACCTTTTTTTAAGAGTGTAGTACTGCAGCAGTGTCAGGGGGTCAGGGTCAGGGTGAGTATAACTACAGCAGAGTGTTTAACACTGAAACAGACAATGATCTTCAGCTCAGCTCTGAGGTCAGAAGATGACCGCTAGATGGCTGATGCCCAAATTATAGTCTAACATCACAAACACATGTTTTTCTTGTTTAATAAAGGCTCCCTCAGCGCTTTGTGAGATGAAAACAGTCGATGACTCACTGTGTGGTGTTGTTTTTATTGTTTTCTGCAGGCCCACATTCTGCTGGACTGTGGTGATGATAATATCTGTAAGCCTGACCTGAAACTGGATGTGGTCAGGTGAGTGAGCAGCTCATCAATGATCAGAATCATCCTAAACCACCTGACGGTGGTGTCTGTCTGTCTGTCTGTCTGTCTATGTCTGTCTGTCTCTCTGTGTCTGTCCACCCCTTCACATGTTGCTGTGATTACATTAACACAGTAGATCTTCTGTCTAGACAGTGAGATTTGATCTATTGCTTTGGTTTACACACATGTGATCCATTATACGTTGCTAACTGCTACATGGATAACATTCACTAGTTATTGAATCAGCCAGCTAACAGTACTTCTCAAGCATTAGCTTGCTAATTAGCTAGCTGGTTTACTCACTATACACTATACAAAAAGGATGGTTCTTCAAGGGTTCTTTAGTAATCACAAATTCTGTATACAACCATGCTTAAATAGCTCTTTGGTGAAATGGTTCTTCAGATTGATGGAGAGTGTGTTGTATATTGTTCTATACAGTGCTATATAGAACCATATGCAGCACATTCTCCATCAATCTGAAGGACCATTTCACCATGCAGAGAATCCTTTAAGCATGAAATGGTTCTATATAAAATTATGGTTTAAATAGAACCATTCAAAATGTAAAGGCTCTAAATGTAGGTATTGTGATATAAACCGAGTCTGTTCTACAGTTTCTCATTAGGCTGAATGAATAACCGACTCTAAATGTAGGTATTGTGATATAAACCGAGTCTGTTCTACAGTTTCTCATTAGGTTGAATGAATAACTGACTCTAAATGTAGGTATTGTGATATAAACTGAGTCTGTTCTACAGTTTCTCATTAGGTTGAATGAATAACTGACTCTAAATGTAGGTATTGTGATATAAACTGAGTCTGTTCTACAGTTTCTCATTAGGTTGAATGAATAACTGACTCTAAATGTAGGTATTGTGATATAAACTGAGTCTGTTCTACAGTTTCTCATTAGGCTGAATGAATAACCGACTCTAAATGTAGGTATTGTGATATAAACTGAGTCTGTTCTACAGTTTCTCATTAGGCTGAATGAATAACTGACTCTAAATGTAGGTATTGTGATATAAACTGAGTCTGTTCTACAGTTTCTCATTAGGCTGAATGAATAACTGACTCTAAATGTAGGTATTGTGATATAAACTGAGTCTGTTCTACAGTTTCTCATTAGGCTGAATGAATAACTGACTCTAAATGTAGGTATTGTGATATAAACTGAGTCTGTTCTACAGTTTCTCATTAGGCTGAATGAATAACTGACTCTAAATGTAGGTATTGTGATATAAACTGAGTCTGTTCTACAGTTTCTCATTAGGTTTAATGGGTTTTGAGCCAGCGTTCTGTAAAGCTTGTCCAATTAGCAGCTATGTAAGAATGCATTTGTGGGCGGAACTTGAATAGGTCTATTGTGTTTTATGCGGATGAAGCATTTTCAATATGTCTGTCTTTGTTTTGCTGTGTTTCAGTGATCAGAAGCAGATCTATATTGGAGATGATAATCCACTGACCCTGGAGGTCAGCGCGGCGAATGGCGGTGAGGGGGCATATGAAGCAGAGCTGCACATCTTTATGCCTCCACAGGCCGACTTCATTGGGGTAGTGAGGAACAGTGAGGTAAGAGGAACACCAGCACAAACCATACACTGTTCCTTCTGCAGCTTACAGTGACGATCTGGAAAATAATAAAATTTACACATTTCCTGCCCCTGAGGTACCCGTCCATAATAAACACAAGAGGTCATTTAATCAACAGGGTCTCAATTGAATTTCCAGAGTAATACGTTTATTTAACGATCACAGCCAAGAGGAAGCTCCTGGTAAAAACACCATAACAAGGATTACAGGAACTTAAATAGTCCCCTAAAAGGGTGTTGGTCCATTTCATTGGTCAACAGAGTACAAAGAAGTTCAAATCCATTAGTTATACCTGATTGTGATTGGAATAAATAAGAGAGTGTTAATATATATGCTGTCGGAAGAAAACCTCAGATCTCCATTTTTGTCGTTTTTCAGTATTTGACATAATTTGAAAATGCATGCTGCCCTTTATATTATGTGTAAATTTCATGATGATTGATCCAAAATAAACGGCCAAAAAATACTTGGAAAAAAAGTCTGGTTCCATTGACTTACATTAAAAGTGAAGTAGGTTTTTTCCTTCTCCTGTAAAGTTACCATTTTGGAGATACGAGGTTTTGTTCCGACAGCAGTGATACAGAGAGTCTTGTCAAGTAAAATTTTCTTAAATTTAATTGATATATTCAGTATTTCTCGTTTTGAGATTGTTGTAAGCTTATTTTAAGATTATTTAACTTATTTCCAAATATTTTTCACTTATTTTAAGTAATTTTATTAAGTAAAATTATCTCACTATATTGGCAGATAATTGTGCTTGTTGTGCTTGAAACCAGCAAAATGATTTGCCAGTATAGTGAGATCAATTCACTTAATAAAATTACTTAAAACAGGTAAAAAGTGTTTAGAAATAAGCTAGATAATCTTATAATAAGTGCACAACCATCTCAAATTAAGAAATATTATATACATCGACTAGAATTAAGATAAGTTTTCTTGACAAGATACTATTTTTTGCAGTGTAATAAATGAGAAGGAAGGAAACCCATATATGGTCAAACTGTTCACCCCATATCTGGTGTTGTATGGGTGTGCTGGCCTGTAGCTCCAAGGTCATAAACAAGAGTCGTGTTGTCCCCTAGATGGTCTCAGGTAGAAACAATTGACATACAATTTACATCTAAAGTGGAGGGAAAGATGTTCAGCTCCTTTAAAGGTGCACTGTATGATTCTGGAGAACGATTGTTGATATTTGAACACCCTTCAGTGCTCCTTCAGAAGCTCCGCGCTCCCAAATTCATTCAAATTCAAATTCCCAACTTTTTTTTTTTTTTCTTTCAAGATCTTCGTGGCCAAAAAACCCTTTGAAAACGTTTTACAGACAAATGATTTACTCAGTGATAGGAAACAGAGTCACCATGACTACAACACAAATATAGCCATTTTATTTACTTTCAAAATCCTTTGCGAGTTTGAATCCCTGGTGATGCCACAGCCATCCGTAAGTGGGAGTCGTCTCTCTCTCTCTGGCGGGGTTAGGATGGTCCTTCCTTTCCCTTTATCACTTAGCATCACCAGCCATTGGCTATGAGTGAATAAGGGACAAAATTGGAACCCCCACAAATAAATCAGTAAATAATGCATTAAAAGCACATAAAATAGCCAAAATTAGTAGCAGCAGCTATTTTGAAGCCTTGATTTTGTACGTTTGTCCATTTTCACAAAACTGTTCCTTTAAAAGCAAATCCAGCATTATTTTTTTGTCTTTTAAACTTGCATATACATGCAGCTGACTATCAGATCATTTTCACAATTATATTCTCCTGAATTTCAGTCTGTTCACACAATAAAGGCTTATTAGATCAAACTGGCTTAAATCTGAGCCTAATTCAACCTCGTTATGAAACAAAGTTAATCATTCCCGGTAATGAGCTGAACTCTGCTGATCTCATACGGTCTGAGTAAGAACATGTTTACGAGGTTTTTACAGAACTGACAAAGCCTTGTTTTAACAGTAGAGTGCAAATGTGGTTTTATTTTATGTCCGTTTGTTGCTGTTTGTCTCTAAATGTGTTTGCGTTTCAGACGCTGTCCCGGCTCTCCTGTGCTTATAAAAGAGAGAACCAGACCAGAGTAGTCTGCGATCTAGGAAACCCCATGAAAGGAGGAACCAAGGTAGAACCCTAGAAAAACCCCCAGACACCCCCACATATATTTTAGATACTTCATGTCACTTCATGTAGAAAGCGAGCAAGAAGAACTAAGCTTATAGTACCAGTCAAAAGTTTTTTATTTAGGCTTTTTGTCTAAAAAGAAATAAAAAAGAAATGTCTTAGAAATAAATGAAGATGTTTTAATATCTTTTAAATTATGACATAAATTATGACAATTATGATTGTGTTTGTTGCAGATTATGGCTGGTTTGCGCTTCAGTGTCCATCAGCTGTCGGAGCAGGACACCTCCGTCAAGTTCGATCTGCAGATACAGAGGTACGATAAGCTGCTTTTTAAATGAACCAATAGAAGCCATATCGCCCCCTACACTTCCTGTAGAGTATTACAGTCTGTCAGAGTGACTGTGTGGATCATATGAACGTTATAGAGGCTTTATAAATGAAACAGTAGAAGCCATATCGCCCCCTACACTTCCTGTAGTGTATTACAGTCTGTCAGAGTGACTGTGTGGATCATATGAACGTTATAGAGCTTTTTAAATGAAACAGTAGAAGCCATATCGCCCCCTACACTTCCTGTACTGTATTACAGTCTTTCAGAATGACTGTGTGGATCATATGAACATTATAGAGGCTTTATAAATGAAACAGTAGAAGCCATATCGCCCCCTACACTTCCTGTAGTGTATTACAGTCTGTCAGAGTGACTGTGTGGATCATATGAACATTATAGAGGCTTTATAAATGAAACAGTAGAAGCCATATCGCCCCCTACACTTCCTGTAGTGTATTACAGTCTGTCAGAATGACTGTGTGGGTCAAGTGACGGTTGTTGACGACTAATCAACTTTGTCTACTAATTCTTACAGGTTAGTTAAATAATTAAAAAAATAGCCAGTAGCTTAGCTTTTATCATTATAATCCACTGCAGCCCTGTTTCTGGGCTTTTTTGTCACTGTAGGAATTTAGCAGCCGTCTCTCTAACCTGCTGACAGCTTCTTGCTTTTCCAAACTCATAAAGCAGAGATGTTCCTGCCTGATGGTCACTTCCTGCCAAAGCCATTCATTTAAATCAGTAAAAGCCCTGAGAGTGCTGCTGGGTTCTAATCTTCCAGCTCCCTGCTGATAGTGAAGACACACAGTCACTTAATTACAGAGTGCTGCTGCTTTCCTCTCGAGAGAAAACATAAAACATCTTCTCTTTTTATGCTCTCCCTTCCTTTCTCTCTCTTTCCTCTGAATCCAGTTCAGTTCTGCCAAAATACTGAGGCGTTTTAAAGTTTAATCCATCTTACTGATCTCTAAAATGAACAGTTGTTACTCAACCAAGTAGTAGCAGTGGTAGAATTGATACAAATACTACTATTAATAATAATAATAATAATAATAATAATAATAATAATTATTATTATTATTATTATTATTATTATTATTATTATTATTATTATACTAATAATTGTACAGTTTATGGGTTGGGCAAAATGATGACCGTTTTTTCAGAATTTGAGATTAGTTTTGTAAAGTGTGAACATGTCTCTGTTTTTTGATTTGACACAGTTAAAGGGGAATTCCACCAGTTTCAGAATTTTTCCATAATTGAGTGGTTGAGATGTATTCAGAGTGATTCAGAGTGGTTTGGTGTGAAATGGTTCAGATGTCTTTACAGTGGTTGTGATAGGAACCAGGAGTCGCCATGACTACAACACAAATTTAGCCATTTTATTTACTATCCAAAACCACCAGTGAACCAACACGTGTTTTTGGGTTTTATATGGAACATTGATGATGGGGAAAATAGTGCTAAATCTGGAAAATCCGTTTTTTGGGGGGGACTTTTTTGTCTCACAACAACCTGCATGTATCCCTCCACCAAAATCTTCTCAGAACTGTCATAAAACAGTGTCTCAGTCATCAGGCAGTGAATTCATAACCATTTCATGTAGTAACTTTCTGTGAGGGAGCTTTTAGAGGTGGACGTCTGGTTCCTATCACCACCACTGTGAACAGTTCTGACTCTGTAAGTTTCTCTAGAACAGAGCGTTTCACACCAAACCACTCTGAACGGCTCTGTTTACATCTTAACCATTTAATTATGAATGTTGAAAAATCGATGGAATTGCTTCATAAGAAGAAAGTGCCCCTCTGTATTGACCTCGCCTGTCATGCAGTGACTGTGTATTATCTTTTGTCAATCAGGACTTTATAAATCTGGCTAGACTGTGGTCACTGTGGTCACTCTTGCAATTCATAATTCAGTTTTAGGACTTAATGATATTCCAGTTTACTCTGAGTTGAGAAATAGCTCCCTCCCTCTCCCGCTCAGTGTTGTTGTTGCTGAATGCTCTAAAAACTGTGTGAGCTTTAATCCCCGGTAAAAACAGTGTCGTAGTTAAGAGTGTGGTGTAACACAAGGAGTGGCCTGTGGTCATTCTACTTACACAGGGATTGGTGTTTGTTTGCTGTATTCGGTTACTGAAGCAACAGCACTGCCTAGTGTTTAACTGCTGCCTTACTCTTCCACATCTTCTCCCTTCTTCCCAGTTCAAATCAGTTCAACAAGACTAGCAACCTGGTGTCCATCGTCACAAAGCTCGCTGTTTTGTCAAAAGTGGAGATACGAGGGTAGGTCACTCACTCATAATCCTATATGAATGTCTCTGTCTTCCGTATTTGCTGGGCTGGTTGGTTTGTGTGGCAGGTGAACTGTGAGAACTAGGCCTTTAGTTTGATCTATAAATGTCAAAACTCGCTCAAACTCGCTCAAACTCTACCATCAGCACTTTATTTCTGCACTTCATTGAGTTTGAGCGGAGTTTCAGCTCAGTTTGAAACACTTTGCGTTTTAATTTTTTATTTGATTTGTAACTATCCTTATTTTAATTTCTAATTTAATTTTTAATTTAGTGATTTTTCTCTTTTAAATCTATTCTTTTAATCATGTTTTTAATTTCTATTTTTGTTTGCTTTGCTTTTTCAAACAACTCTGTATTTTCTCATTTGTAAAGCCCTTTGAATGACAGCAGTGTATGAAAGGTGCTATATAGATAAACTTGCCTTGCCTACCATAATGTGAATTTTTGCTAGCGCCCCTATGGGATTCTAGTAGTATGTTAGCACTAAGCTAACACTGATGCACATGAATGTTTTTTTTTTTGGCCATTCTTGATTAAACTTTGATGATTGGAGCTTGCAAAGGACATTCCATATGTTTTTTCAACCATATCCAACATTTATTTGGGTTTAGATTATTTACAGGTGAATTGCTTTGTCTGTATTATTAATAAGTGGCGTGGCGGCTTCTGTCTGAAACTTATGTGTATGTATATGTGTGTGTGTTGCCTTGCAGTGTTTCTGCCCCTGAGCAGATTTTCCTGCCCATTGCTAACTGGCAACCCAAAGAGAAGCCAGTTCTGGAGGATGATATCGGACCCCTTGTCCAGCACATCTATGAGGTACATATCTCACTGAACCCAGCACAGTCTTACACTCAGATTAATATTTAGATCTATTTGTATTTCTGTAAAGCCTAGGGCACACTAAACCTTTCACTATCCAGCATTCTCCATCAAATACCCTCATTGTCCAATCTCCATCAAACGCCATAATTCTTCAACCAGATACCATCATTCTTCACCAAACACGATCATTCTTCACCAAACACGATCATTCTTCAACCAAATGCCATCATTCTCCCTCAGACACCAACATTCTCCACCGAACACCATTATCCTTCATTAAACACCATCATTATCCAACAAAAATTGCTGTTCTTGACCTTTTTCACTATCAAATACCATCATTGCTCAAAAAAACATCAACATTTCCAGCCAAACACCATCATTATTCAAACCAAGTAGCACCATTCTCCTCCAAACATCAACATTCCCAGCCAAACACCATCATTCTTCATACCCATCTGCATCGTTCTCCACCAAACATCAACATTCCCAACCAAACACCATCATTCTTCAAACTAAACTGCATCATTCTCCACCAAACATCAACATTCCCAACCAAACACCAACATTCTTCATACCCATCTGCATCATTCTCCACCAAACATCAACATTCCCAACTGAACACCATCATTCTTCAATCTAAACTGCATCATTCTCCACCAAACATCAACATTCCCAACCAAACACCAACATTCTTCATACCCATCTGCATCGTTCTCCACCAAACATCAACATTCCCAGCCAAACACCAACATTCTTCATACCCATCTGCATCGTTCTCCACCAAACATCAACATTCCCAACTGAACACCATCATTCTTCAAACTAAACTGCATCATTCTCCACCAAACATCAACATTCCCAACCAAACACCATCATTCTTCATACCCATCTGCATCGTTCTCCACCAAACATCAACATTCCCAACCAAACACCAACATTCTTCATACCCATCTGCATCATTCTCCACCAAACATCAACATTCCCAACCAAACACCATCATTCTTCATACCCATCTGCATCATTCTCCACCAAACATCAACATTCCCAACCAAACACCATCATTCTTCATACCCATCTGCATCGTTCTCCACCAAACATCAACATTCCCAACTGAACACCATCATTCTTCAAACTAAACTGCATCATTCTCCACCAAACATCAACATTCCCAACCAAACACCAACATTCTTCATACCCATCTGCATCATTCTCCACCAAACATCAACATTCCCAACCAAACACCATCATTCTTCATACCCATCTGCATCATTCTCCACCAAACATCAACGTTCCCAACCAAACACCATCATTCTTCATACCCATCTGCATCGTTCTCCACCAAACATCAACATTCCCAACTGAACACCATCATTCTTCAAACTAAACTGCATCATTCTCCACCAAACATCAACATTCCCAACCAAACACCATCATTCTTCAAACTAAACTGCATCATTCTCCACCAAACATCAACATTCCCAACCAAACACCATCATTCTTCATACCCATCTGCATCGTTCTCCACCAAACATCAACATTCCCAACCAAACACCAACATTCTTCATACCCATCTGCATCATTCTCCACCAAACATCAACATTCCCAACCAAACACCATCATTCTTCATACCCATCTGCATCGTTCTCCACCAAACATCAACATTCCCAACCAAACACCATAATTCTCCACCAAACATCAACATTCCCAACCAAACACCATCATTCTTCAAACTAAACTGCATCATTCTCCACCATACACCACAATTCTCTCTCAAAAAAGCATCACTGTGACGTCGCCATTTGGCTTTATATTTTCCAGTAAAAGAACCAATAAGCTAAAGGTAGAACATTCTTTCCCAGCTCACCACTGGGGTTTATTGGTGTTTGTTGGAGTGGCTGATTGAGTTGGATTGCTCTCTGCTGTTTTGTCTCCATCACTCTGGGTTTAAAACGATGACAGTGACTATTGGAATTAAATTACTAATATTCATCTTTAATTTAAAGCATTTTTAACCCATAGCAGGTTAAGCATATATGCACTGCACCATATGGGCATGACTGAATATACATAAATTAAATGGGAACGACTGACTCCTCAAAGATGAAGCTGTTGTGTTGTTGTGCAGTTGCGGAATAAAGGTCCAAGCACATTCTCTAAGGCCATGCTGGACGTGGAGTGGCCATACCGCTTCAACAACGGCTCTCTGCTCTACATCACCAAATACGAGGTGGACGGGGCCATGAACTGCAGCACTGATATGGAGATCAACCCACTCAACGTCTCTGTACGTCTTCCCGCTGCAGCAGTTAACCGCTGCCCAAACGCTTCTGCATGCTTGATTATAATGTGTGATATTTTAGGCCCTGTCTTTTTCTTGCTTAACCTTCAAACGTAGGCAAATAGTTGGAAACACCTATCTTAAGAAAATGCTTTAATACAGGTCAGCATGTTTTCTTTGTTGGTCTACAAAAACCTAACAGGCTAAACATAATGAGACAATAATTGGTGCAAAAGATTGTCAGTATATGCTCTTAAGAGTAGTTTGGAAAAGAAAACCATCAAATTATTTTTTTAAGCAAAAGCTGTAGTAGAGTCCACTTTTCTATCTCTCCATAGGAGTCACTGGTGTTACTGATCCTCATTGGTGTTACACACCGGAGACATTTTTAATGAACAATGCATTTTACAAAACGGCTGCTACAGAGCATCAAACCACATGATGTCAATCATGGAATATCCACTAAAATATGAAATTTAATCCATTTGTATTCTATTTGGTCACAATGACCTCAGAATAAAGCCGGTCACACCAGTGACTTCAGCTAAAAGCTTCATATGAAATCATGAGCTAAATGAGAAAATCTCTGATAACTGAAAGACTCAGTGGACTCACCATGTGCTTTTCTTCATAGATCCTCAGAAAACAGGTAAAAGGAAGTCCAGTGATGTCATCAGTGTGATTTTTATTTCAAAATAAGAGATTTTTTGTTACGCGGTAACACCAGTGACACGACTCCTGGGGACAACAACTTTCATTATATATTTTATAATATTTATTTGTTTTCTTTATGTCATTCAAATCATACATTTCATAGTCATGTATAGATTATTGCAGTTAAAATTGCAGAAAAACATGTTTTTTACCTCAAAATATGGTCTCACCCTTTACACATGACCGAGGACGAGCTCTTCTGTGGTGCTTGGAATTCTATATGATTGATTTAAAACCAATATTGCTAAACTGATGACTGGAGAAGGTGTAACTGTTAAAATAACTTACTGTTTTGTAAATAAATGTAAATAACTTTTAATAACCCTAACATATTTTTCAAGTGTGGTATATCTGTAAATGCTAGCGAACAAAAATGGGCATTTCCATAAAACGACTCAGTAATATAATAATATGTGGTTCTGGCTGTTTGTGTTGCAGAACCCCATGTTCTGGGATAAAAACGTGACCATAATATCAGGTGACCGGACGGAGGGGCGGAACAGGAACCACGTTCACCGCCGAGACCTGAAGGACCAGCAGGACGACGGGGACAAGCTCACCCTGGTACTGCTAATGACATCACCATTACTCATGACATCATCACTTTACCAAACCACATACACACACTGTTATGGATAATTTGTTACTACTTGAAAATAAGACTACCCTTATAAAAGGTTCATGCGTACTTTAAAATGAGTTAATTATTGGTTATTAATTTGGTCAGAAAGAGTTAAAAAGTTACAGCACATAAATGAAAAGGGCAACAGTGACCTGTTGGTAGCCGAATAGTGAACCCCATTCATTTATAACTTTAAAACTTAGATTTTGATGTTTACTGTTCTCTCCTTGTCTTCACCAATCAACATTGAACTCGCCAGCTTCATCACATATTCATCGGATATAACAACTCACGACATGTTACAGCTGATTTTTAAAGTGTTTATAACCCAATTAATAACCATTAACAAACTAATTTTAAACCAGTCGTGAACAATTCCTGAGGGTACTCCTATTTTAAAGTGGTATCAATAATTTTATTGTTTTTTAAAGACATGCTCATCCTGGCACCACTACAGATGACATCGGTCTTATTGATGACATCATCACTTTTACTAACCACTTTCTTATTCTAGTACTATTACATATGATGTCATAACCTTATTAACAACATGATCATCCTAGTATTTTCACTTGTGATGTCATCACTTTATTAACTGTAACATAATCATCCTGGGATTGTTACTTATGATGTCACCTCTTTATTAATGACATAGACTTCCTGGTACTTTTACTTGTAATGTCATCACTTTGTTAATGACATATTCATCCTGGTACTGTTAGTTATGATGTCACTGCTTTATTAACAAAATGCTCATCCTGGTACTGTTACTTATGACTTCATCACTTTGTTGACAACATATTCATCCTGGTACTGTTACTTATGATGTCACTGCTTTATTAACAGCATGCTCATCCTGATACTGTTACTTATGATGTCACTGCTTTATTAATGATATATTTATCCTGGTACTGTTACTTATGACTTCATCACTTTGTTGACAACATATTCATCCTGGTACTGTTACTTAAGGTGGCATGATTTTATTAACCATATATTTATCCTGGTGCTCTTAGTTATGATGTCATGACACTTTACCGACCTCATACTCATCCTGGTACTGTTGTTTATGATGTAATCACTTTAACAACATGAATTATTAATGACATCATCAACACACTCGTCATGTTACTGCTGCTGATGACCTCATCACTACTGGTCACATTACTTCTTTACTTTATGAACTACAATCTTTGGGGTAGCATTTCCTCAGGAGGCCACTTTAATAGCTGTGTCCTGTTTTTGCACACTGTGACATCCTCATCCTGGCACTGCCACTCTTTACATCATCATTACATCATCACTTCTCTAACAACATGTTTATTCTTGGTATGTTTACTGATGATATTGTCACTGTTAATTCTGTCATTAATTTCAAACTGAACGCAGCTTCTGGCTGCGCTTCTAACTGTTTTTTTTTTTTGCTGACTTTAATATAAAAGTGACGTGCAAAAGTTATGGCACATTTTATATTTTGTTTTTTTCCCCCAATACATGAAATTCAGCAAATAAGTGGTCTTTAAAAATGCATTAAAATGTGCAGACGTTTTGTTATTTTCAGTAAGAAAATCAACAACAAAATACAACCCCATTTTTAAAAATGTTGCAACGCTGTGCAAAATGTAAATAAAAATAGAATGCAATGACACCCAGTAAGCGTTTGGGAACTGAGGAGACACTGCTGTAGTTTCAAAAGTGAAATGTTTTCCATTCTTGTTTGATACAGGATTTCAGCTGCTCAACAGTTCGGGGTCATATTTTTTGTTACTTTGTAGTATTTTTCATTCATAATGCACCAAATGTTATCAGTGGTGACAGGTCTGGACTGCAGGCAGGTCAGTTTAGCGCCCGAACTCTTTTAATACGGAGCAATGCTGTTGTAATACAATGGCATTGTCTTGCTGAAATAGTCAAGGCCTTCCCTGAAAAAGACGTCTGGATGGCAGCGTATGTTGCCAAAACCTGTATATATCATTCAGCATTAATGGGACCTTCACAGATGTGCACATCAACCATGCCATGTGCACTAATGCCCCCCTATACCATCATCAATACTGGCTTTAGAACTGTGTGCTGATAACAAGCTGGGAGGTCTTTAGCCCGGAGGACACAGTGTCCATGATTTCCAAAAGAAATTTCAAATGTTGATTCGTTGGACCACAGGACACTTCTCCACCTCCCCTCAGTCCATTTTAAATGAGCTGAGGCCCAGAGAAGTTGGTGGCGTTTCTGGATCCTGTTTATATATGATTTCTTCTTTGTGTTTTAGAGTTTTAACTTGAATTTGTGGATGCAGTGATGAACTGTGTTCACAGACAGTGTTTTTCAGAAGTGTTTCTGAGCCCATGCAGTGATTTCCACTACAGAACCATGTCTGTTTTTAATGCAGTGCTGTCTGAGGGCCCAAAGATCACGGCCAGCAAATACTGGTTTTTGGCCTTGTCCCTTACATACAGAGATTTCTCCAGATTCTCTGAATCTTTTAACTATATTATGTACCGTAGATGATGAAAACAAAAGTTCTTTGCTGTGTTATGTTGATAAATGTTATTCTTGAATTGTTGCACTTGATTGTGCAGTCTTTCACAGAGTGGTGAACCCTCCTCATCTTTACTTCTGAAAGACTTTTTATACAAGCATTACACAACTTTACTAGTCTTTTGTTGCCCCGTCCCAACTTTTTTGGAACGTGGTGTTGGCATCAAATTCAAAATGGGAATATATTTTTCAAAAAACAATAAAATTTTTTACTTTAAACATTTGATTTGTTGTCTTTGTACAATTATTAATGAAATATAGGGTTTAAATGATTTGCACATCATTGCATTTTGTTTTTATTTACATTTTGCACAGCGTCCCAACTTTTTTGGAAATGGGGTTGTAGAATTTGACCAGGGGCGCCCAAACTTTTGTGTACGACTCTACCTGAACTATAGTATGACACTCTGTGTGTGTGTGTGTGTGTGTGTGTGTGTGTGTGTGTGTGTGTGTGTGTGTGTTTGCAGGACTGTGAGAAGGCTCAGTGTTTGAAGATCAAGTGCCAGGTGGGCCGTTTGGAGAGAGGTCAGAGTGCCATACTGTACATCTACTCCAGACTGGCAGTGGCCACCTTCCTGCAGGTCAGTCTCATCGCAGCTCTTATTCTCAGCTTATGTTTCATCACTGTTATAAGAAATCCTCACTGTATCTGTAACTTTACAGAAGAAGAAAAATGTCTTTAATGTCTGTTAAAATTAGACTGTTCCACAATGAGCTGCACAAAATGTATAGATTTATTTTTTTAACATTTGATGTCACGTCACTGAATAATACAGGGTTGTTTAAACATGTTACCTGCTGCCAAATGTGGTCTTACGTTACATCTGAAGTGGCATTAAAAAGTATTGAATTAAATGTAAGGATGCCCGAAGACTCCCTGTACTGACCCACGTGTCCTTCTGTTTCAGGCTGAGAGTCAGAACCGCTCATACCTTGTGAAGTCTTTGGCCACATTCAATGTGATCGAGATGCCATATAAAAACCTGGATTTTGAGCTGCCAGGCAACAAGACCTCTGTGAGTAATAGTGGGTGGTCTCAAAGTGGGTTTACAGGGCTGATTAATAGGGCCTGGCCTGTCTATATAGAGCAGGGGTGCTCAATCCTGGCCCTGGAGAGAATCTACTGCCCTGGAGAGCTCAGATCCAACACACCTGGCTCTAATTCAGGTGCCTCTGAAGGCCTTCATTACCTGGATCAGGTCTGTTAAATTAGGGTTGGAGCTAAACTCTGCTGGGTGGTAGATCTCCAGGACCAGGACTGGGCCCCCCTGGTGTAGAGAATGTGTAATATTATTCATTATCTGCTATGAAATATTCAAGAAAATACTATGAATTGTAAGTATATACTATGAATTATGCAGCATTCAGTGTCTACTGTGTATCTACTATGAATTATTCAGTATCTACTATAAAACTAATGCTCTGTAGTTCTGAGAGTGATGAACTGAAGTGTGGAACACATGGAGAGTTTAATGGTTTAGACATTCATATTTAGCTTAATTAATGTATAATGTGTAACGTAATATTTGATATATTTCTTTTGCATTTTCATGCTGAATGATGTGTTTTGATTGTATGGTTTTGATTATGTATTTTGTTCCTACGCTGATGTGTTGTGATTGAGTTCTGTGTTTGGTGACGCAGGCCAGTCTGAACGTGGTGTGGGTGATCATTACTCCGCCCGACCCTGCGCCTGTGTGGGTGGTGGTCGTGGCTGTGTTGGCCGGCCTGCTGCTGCTCGCTCTGCTCATCTTCATCATGTACAAGGTCAGCAACTTTCACACCAGCAGCAGAGAAACTGTCAGGAACGCCCATACTCCCTATCCGGTGTGACCATGGTTTGAATATTTAGGCTACTTTTTTACAGTGTCTGTGTCTGAAGTAATGAAGACGAACATTTTTCACACTATTCAGAGGTTAAATTGACTCCTATTTATCAGAGTTGCTAAAAGAGCACAGATGTGACCACCTTTAGTGATGTACGAACTATTCTGAGTGGTTTATGAACATTTTGGAAACGAGCGGAAATCTGAGCAGCGATGATGAATCAACTTCTGTAACTCCAGCCTATCGGCTCCTCATTTACATATCATTTGCATACAGCCCGCCCTAATTTATGCAGATGTTTCCCTAGAGAGCCAATAAAATGACAGCATTCAGCAGCTTGTGAGCCAGTGGCTGTGCTCGTAGTTTCAGGTATATTTTATTTTGTGGACGGAATCATGAGCATAATACAACGACGTTTTAAGGCCACTGTTGATTAAACATAAAAACAGTAGACTTCAAGAATAAAGTCGTAATATATAGAGAAAAAAGTCATACTTTTTAGAGAAAAAAAGTCATAGAATTATGACATTAAAGTGGCATTAATACCTGGAAAGTTCGCAGTGCTGTGGCCAAAGGCTTTGCAAAGGGAAGGCAGCACCAAAACTTGTGTGCTGGATTGCTGTGAGCAAAAAGTATTAGTATTATTGTTATTTTCTATTTTTATTCTTGTTATTGGTATTATAGATGATGATAATAATGGTTTTGGCTAATTAATGACAATCAAGCCTAAACCTTAGCCAAAAGTCAAACTGAGAACTGTGTAGAGAATCATTCGATTACTTAAAGTCAAAAAAACACTATTTTTTTAAATGCTCTAATTTTACTACCAGATATGAATTTAATTGTACAGAAGAAACAGATGAAAATCAAAACTGTTGGCTTTGCATGCCCTCATATTCAGCTTTGACAAATAAGGGCCATGTTTTCTGAAAGTATAAGCAAATCTGAGATGGTCAGTCAAGAAATTAGAGGTGCCTAAACTCTTTATTGTATCACTACTTATGCAGTTTTGCACCTATGATTGACAGCTGTCTATCACAGCTTACATTAGAGCACCAACTTGGTTCAGATGTAGCAAAAGCAAGTGAACAACTCATGTTTGTAGTCACTGAAATTAATTTTCATGCTGGAAATCTAATATTTTTTGCACTAAGGTCCATAAGCTCTTAGTTAGGCCTCTGGACAGCACTGTGGTATTCGGCCCCCATTCAGTTCAGTCAGTTGCGGTGTTTTTCGGGTGACCCCTGAGCTTAAACTCCACTCTTACTGTCCTCTCCGTTACAGCTGGGCTTCTTCAACCGCGTGCGTCCGCCTCAGGAGGACGGGACGGAGAAAGAGCAGCTCCAGCCGCAGGAGAACGGCGACAGAAACACTGAAGCCTGAGAGACTCGTCCCCCAAAAACACTCATCCTCTAACTTACCCTCCACCAACGCCGAGACTGCAGAGACACTCCAGACCGCGACGAGACGTCCATGAGCACCGACAGCACGGCAGCGTTCTCCAAACATTCAGTCCAGAGACAGAGATCTGCTCTGGATGGTTAATATTAGGGATGGGCGTTTGAGTAGCTGCGTTTCTGAATAAATAACATTCAAATGTCCCAACACACACACACACATTTATACTGGGGCAAATGTTCCTGTAGTGCTAATTATAAGGCAGATGTAACGGCCACACCCACTTTTTAAAAGCCTCTATATCTTAAAAACGAATGAATATGCAAGCCTGAAAGGTTTACCGTAAGATTATTGCGTGCCGTTTGCATAAGACTGACTTTTTGGTTGATTTAATGATTCATCTTTGTGTTTCACGTTGCATAGTTTGACCTACAGATTGATAACTTTACACCTTACAAATTTACATTATTTCATTTCGAAATATTTCCGTACTCAGCTCTGCTTAAATGTGGCTATTCTGCAGCAAACCTACTTAAAATTACTAGATTGTACACAATTTATTCCATTTTTATTCCACGTGGCTTATTCATGTACGCGATTAGTTAATCAGACGCTAAAAATGTGGCTATTCTACCATATATTCTAATAACCACGCCCATCCCTAACTAGCGTAGTGACCTGTGAGAGGCGTCTGGACGATTCTGCTGTGGTCATTTGGATGAATCATACGGTACAGCACTACCTGCAGTGGTGTGGTGATTCTAAGACTGAAGTCTGTGTTACTGAGGCTGATGCCATTTTCCCCTCCAGCTCCTGCTGGACCTTCTCCCCCTTAACCTGCTGCAGCATTTCCCAGTCCTGCTCCTAAATCCTGTGTGTAGAGAATCATTAGACGAATTAAAGCTGAAATAACACTATTTTTTTTATTTCAACCAAAACAAATAAGACGTGTTAGAAATAGGCCTAGTCACGATTATTGCATAATTATAATACCTAATCACGATTATTTGAGGGGGATTTAATTATTTTTCCACAGATTAAATGTCAAAGTCATACGTTTATGTAAAAAAAAGCAATAGAGTGTAAATAAGTGCAAATTTGGTTTCCCTGCTTTTGCAAATTCTCTAAAAATGGACACAAGTGTAGAAAAAAGTCAGACTTTGAGACGACTGTGTGTGTTTTTAGCTGTGGTTTTGTCCACATCATTTCGAAGCGCATTCTTATCTGGAATCTAAGTTTAAATGACTTAAAATGGCCCTTTTTCATCATAAACTGATCAGGGTGAAACTAGATTAGTGGCATTAAATGACCACACAAAAAAACCCCAGTTGTTCATCACAGGTATTTGATCAGCAGCTAAAATTTCAGGATTGTAACTCCTGATTAGAACTCGGTCCTCATAATTTGAGAGCTGCTGCGCAGTTTATCCGCTCTGACACACTGAGTGTGTTTACATGCACGTAATAATCCAATAACTGCAGAAAATCAGATTTCAGTAACCTGATCAACGCGTTTATATATGGTTGAGTAATCAGATAATGGGGAAACTCCAGGTCTACATGAGTCAGACAGTAATCAGATTTCTGCTTTACAACCAGCCAATAAACTTACAGAAGACGACGTGACGTAAAGTAAAACTCAAACTTCATGCTGCGGCTTTTTAAAAAACACCGTACCACTTTACCTGAAAATATGAACAAACATCATCTAGAAGATGAATATTTAAATCCTTTATTTCATCGAGCATGTTTTTGATTCGCTCCTAAAGTGTTTTGCTGCGTCTCGCGGCGACGCTGCTCACTTATTTCCGGTACTGTTTTCACACGTTCAGACTGAGAAATCCAAAAGAAATCAGAGTAAGAGTTTACATGCACTGAGAAATCTGATTACTGAGCTTAAATCCAGCCTCTTAATCAGATTTCTTAATCAGATTTCTAGATCCGAATATGGCGTTTACGTGACCATTTGAATAATCAGATAACTGCAGAAATCCGATTATGATCAGATTACTGAGGGCATGTATACACACTCACTGATTCAGCTCTTCAGCTCATCATTAATCCCTTCACGATATGAACTTTAGTGCATTACAGCAGGAAAACCGTAGAATGTGCCGCCTCTGCTGGAGCGAGACTGAGAAATGCTGCTCTACTGCACTGACGTTCAACAGGTTTGAGCTCTCACTGTTCTCAGAGGTTAGATTTAAAGTAGAGATTTGCGGGACATTAGCGAAATAATGACGGAAAGAGAGAAAAGTACAGATTTAAGGCGTGAGATTACAGCTGAACTGAAATGCTGCGATGAAATATCGTTTTATGAAATGATCTGCAGTGCTTTTTGTACATTTTCACTGCTGGTGCCAAGTGTGTTCTTTTTTTCCTTTTTTTTGTGGGGATATTGTATTTTTAGAGGTACTTAATAATATATTGCTTAATGGTCTAACAAACATCCTGCCATTCTTCCCTTTGCTGGACTCCTGTTGATCTCACATTTCAGAGCTGAACGTAGTATTTAATGTAAGGTTTAATATCCGGTATCGTTGTTCTTATTAATGCATTACTTGTTTTATTTCATTTTTGGGCTTTAGACTCATTTTTGCTGTTTAAACTAAGCCTTGTTGTTCCTTTCTTTTCACTCCAGAGCAGATCGGTGTGTTTCATCCAATTTATATAGTCGAATTTATATTTTCCTATGAAATAGTAATAATAAAAAAGTCTATGATGCAGATTAAGGCCCTGCAAGTTGGAATGATTTGACTACAAGTACAAAAATCCTTTAAACATAATTATACATTAAGTTTTCACATTTTGCACAGTTTACGATTTTTATATTGTGAATGATATGAAAACAGAAGCACAAAGTTGCTGAATTTTTTATTAGTCCCTGTATTTTTATATAAAAAAGGTTTAAATTTCACTCCAGCGAATGCTGTAAAGGCTCTATTTGTTCAGTGTTATTAGTAGCAGTTCACTTTTGTTTAAAAGAAAAGTTGTGGTTTTACCACCATTTCAGTACAAAACATGAAGCAAATAGAAAATCAGAAACGCTGTGATGCCTTCAGAAAACAACCACAGTCGTGTGCAAAAGTTTGTGCACCCCTGGTCAAATTAAATGTGTGTTGGTAAGTGTAAATAAGTGAACACATCCTCTACAGAGAACACACTCCTGCACATTTTAGTACACAATTACTGTTTATTTACTGAATTTAACATACTGGGGGGGAAAATAAAACGTGGCCTGTGCAAAAGTTATGTACGTTTTATTTTCACTGTGTTCCCTGTAGAGGATGTGTTCATTTCTTTTTACTTAGAAAATCAACGAAATGTGTAATTTAGGGTGTTCGGACATTTGCATATGACTATTTTATTGCATGAGGCTAAAACTGTTTGCTGAATATTACTGTTTCTACTGTAAACACCTTTAGTGCTTGACTTTGGTTCACATTAGGCCAGGTTTTTATTTTTAGATTGATCTAAAGTTAGTTGGCAAATATACTGTAAGTCTCACTCCTGCACAAGAAAAGTCACCTTTTTATAATGTAGCCGTTTTTTAGTGTTGGTGTATTATTGTCTGTAAGAATTTACCCATATTGGGTTTCAACAAACGCGAGGTTGGAATTCATCACTCTTCAGTATTCTGCTTCCACACCGGCCTGATCACTTTCTGTTCCTTTTAGTTTGAGGATTAACTTTAAAACGTTACTGAATGGTATCCTAGAGCAGAACATCTGTACATCAAAGCACTGGTGAATATGATTCTAATCCACAGCATCTTCAGCGGTCACTATTGTGTCTATTTGGTCATTAACGTTTGGAGCTAATATGATGTCAGGTTTCTGGTAGACAGTTATATTGACTTACATAACTGAAATAAATGGATTTATTGATTTTGTTTAGAGGCGTTTGTGTGTGCTTTGTTGTCTGTATGATTAACACTGTTATTTATGTAACTCCAGTTCAGTGCCAACTCACCTCGGGTCTGATAGGTCACATAATGGATCTCCTTAAAAAAAAAAAAATTTCTATAGAATTTGTGACGATGCAAAATTTCAAAACTGTGCTACAAAGAATAGATAGATAGATAGATAGATAGATAGATAGATAGATGCTCCAAAATTACTTGGAAAAAATTATTTATCCATTCACTTCTATTAAAAGTTAAGAATGTTTTTCCTTCTTGAAGTTTATATATATATATATATATATATATATATATATATATATATATATATATATATATATATATATAAATATATATATATATATAAATATATATATATATTTCTTTTTAACACACACATACATACATACACACAATATATAATATAATATATATATATTATATAATATATAATATATATATATATATATATATATTCCATTATATACACACAAAGAATAATATTTAACTCTAACTCTACTGGTCTTATTTTATGATCATGGCTTAATATATTTGAGAGTGTATTTTGTCCATCAGAGTGTAAAATCTAAATGTTAAAGGTATCACTGTCCAATTATTTATTGGCTTTATAAACTATTGATGATTTATGCATGAATTATGAATCATTTGTGATGTTTAAGCTGGGGGTGCCTCATAACAAATCACAATATTTCACAAAAAAGACACTTTATTTTCATTGAACGCCATCCATGAATTCTCACAGCGGTCAGACAGATATTTCTGTTTTTATTCTATTAACTTTTATCATGTGTTTTTAATTAACGTGTTCATGGAATTCACTCCTATATTATTTTCATCTCCCGTTTGGAGGCTGTAATGTAACCAACTCAGCCAGAGAGCTAGCCAGGCTAAAGTACAGCCCCCACATGGTGAGGTGCTTAAAACTACCCCATTCTGAACTACTAGCCTGTAAAAATGCTGAAAACGTAATGACTGTTCTTACTCTGTGCTGTTTTAAAAACACACAGATCGTATGGTACAATGTAAGAAGCAGTGATGGCTACTGTAACAACAAACCTGCATCATCATAAGGAGCTTTTTAAACAATTAAATATGCATATTTATTCAGGTTGGTAGCTTGACTGCAAACACAAATTGAAAAAGCTGTTCTGACTGTTTTTAGAAAGAAGCACCTCATGGAGCACACTCACAGGCTACATTGTCCACAAGGGGGCGCCATTAGCAGTCACGTAGCATCTGATGCTTCGTATGCGTCCTTATTCAGTCTTTCTGTGCACAAAAACGGGCTCGCAGTTCTGATGTAAGTAGCTATTAGGATTTCAATATCTTTATTTTGCTATTTGCTTAAAACAGAGGTCAATTAAATTTCTACTTACACAGGAAAGAAAGGTCTGAACTTGGTGCACAGCTGGTCAGAGGCACTATTTTAGCAATAATTTATCGCTTCTAATCTGTCAGCTTTATCGAACATCGCATTTTATGACCATATCGTGCAGCCCTACTGGTCTGAACGCTTTTATAACTCAGGACACGCTTTACTTCAGTTTAGGCCTTTATTACAAAAATGAAAATCACTTCTAATAAACACACACACTGTGTTTGTACTTCAGTGATTGACTGTGTGACACAGTGCTGTTTATACTCCATCAGAGAGAGAAAGGCTGCTGTTTACTGATGTGTTACTGTGCATTGGTCAGTAAGAAGCTCAGGTCACTCCCGGGGTCATATTCAGTGGTCGGCTTCCCCCTGAAAAAAAGATCAGAAATGACTTTTTCAGCCAAACGTGGAAATGTTTCAGCAGACACAGGCTGTGAGATCAGAATGACCATCAGAAACACTTTACTCTCCAGTACATTGTAGGAATATAAGATGCAGTTTTATTGGTGTAGGTGCACAGATACAATCAAAACAGAGCAAACTAATAAAACAGTGCTGACAGTCTAAGGCAGCCATGAAAACTGTTTCAAACTACTTAACTATCCAGTAATTGTTTTGCCAGCATTAGAATGAATATAAATAAACATAAATACAGTAGTCAGTAGCCAGGATGTGTTATTTTCAGTAAAGTTATGAATATCGCTGGAAGAAAACCTTGTATCTCCAAAATAGTAACTTCACAGGAGAAGGAAAAAACCTACTTTACTTTTAATGTAAGTCAATGGAACCAGAATTTTTTCCAAGTCATTTTGAGTCGTTTCTTTTGGTCCATTCATCGGGAGATTTACAGACAATGTAAAGGAACACAGGTATTTTCAAATTATATCAAAAACTGTTTTTTGTTGTGGATGGTAACTGTAAATACAGGACTCCTTGAGCAGAGAGTTGGAAATGGTTAGGATAACATACACAGAACAATCCCACTGACTATTTATTGGTTTATTTGTATTTATGTTTGTGTTTTTTGGATAAATAAATGTTTACTGCTCAGATAAATGACTGTACATATGATTTTCTCAGATGCACAGCACTGTATAGCAAATCAACGCGCATACATTGCAATCAGATCAAGCCCCAATACAGAGGAAGAAGAAATAGATTTGTCGAGTAGTCATGGCAACAGATGCATAATTTTTCTTGAAGCCAGTGAGACTCAAAGACACAGGCACTGAGAAACAGCCCATTCTGCTAATAACGTTCAACAACAGAGGGAGAGCCACTGAAGCTCTAGAGCAGCTCTGTGAGCTCTGATATGAAAGACTTTACCAGTCATGTCATGAGGGCAGTCGTGGGCTGGAGGTGAGGGGACCAGCCCTCTGACCGGAAGGTCGCTGGTTTGATCCCCTGAGCCGACAGTACATGACTGAAGTGCCCTTGAGCAAGACACCTAACCCCCAACTGCTCCCCAGGCCCTGCGGATAGGGCAGCCCATCTCTCCGAGCAAGTGTGCTCACTGCCCCCTAGTGTGTGTGTTCACTAGTGTGTGTGTGGTGTTTCACTATACGGATGGGTTAAATGTGGAGGTGTTGAGTGGGACTAATAACGGTCACCTAATCTTAAAAAAAAACTTGCAGTGTGTTTTGTCTTTGGTCTTTGTTTGTAAAAGGCTGTTAGGGCCTTGTCGCCCCCCTCTGGCGCAAACGGAAACTGTCTTAGAAATACAGAATATGCAATTGCAAAATGCCTGTGGGTTTTTTCTCAGTAGCCATAAAATGCAATTTCTGCCTGTTTTGGGGGCCCCTAGAGGCCCCTCAGTTCAGCCTTAAATTTTAGGATTTTTTAATTGAACTAGAATTTTGAAAAATATTTTAATTAAATGTTTACTATATTTTAAATTAAACTATTTTATTTGATTATATTACTCAAAGTATCTGACGAGTCGTTTCCATTCTGCTGGTGGAATGGCCACTAGTAGGCCTGCAGAAAGGGGTTTGCTCAGATTTATCAATTTTTCAGAATTGCTCACTTTCCCAGCCTATATAATTCATATGTAATTAAAGCATTGCATGATTAATTACCCTTACATTTGATTTACATTCTGTATGTACAGATTTGAGTCTGCACTGTGGATTAAATGTTTAGAATCTGAATGTCCAGCACAATTTCTCTGGCTGTTTGAAATAATTAAATAATAGAATTAAATATAAGTGGTGTGCAGACCCTGGGTGACCTCAGGGGGGGGTTAGCCGATAAGGCTGAAGACTGATGAAGGTGACGTGCCGTCTCAGTGCTGAGGCAGCGTTTCAGATTCTGCTGTCAGAGGAGATTTACACAGATAAAGCGCTCTCTCAGGTCCTGATAAGCTGAGGAATCTTTGTTCTCTGCTCTTTGCTCTGTGTGTCGGAGCTGCTGCGTTACCTTTGGAACAGTCTGGCCTTCGTGCTGCCCAGCAGAGTGGCTTTGTTTCCCTCCACCAGAAGCATGGAGCCCTCCCTCAGACCCTGCAAACACAACCTGACAGTCTTCACTCCTGCAGTCTAACATTACCGCAGCCAAGAGCTCTCAGATACCCGGCACACTCACCAGGACGCTCGGCGTGTCGAGCTCCTCGTGATACTGAACGATCCTCTGCTCACGCGTCTCCTAAAGGACACAGGAAACAGCCGCAGTTCAGCTACTAAACACAGTACTAACACTCAGACAGTATGATTAGTCGTTAGGAGAAATTATTAGTTTTAGTATAGGTTTTTTGTATTTATATCAAATGCAGTGTTTTTTTCCTTGATGTATGCTACATTAGTATTATTGTGTTTACTGTGTTAATGTTAAGTGTCCTTGGGTTTATGAAAGGCGCCCTATAAATAAAACATACAAAAACTTGATAAACATTTTTTAAAAATTTAAAACAAAGATAAGTTATGACGAGAAAAGAAGAAGAAGAAATATTTGCTGGAGTGTGTGTGTGTATGTGTATATATATGTGTATATAAATATATATATATATATATATATATATATATATATATATATATATATATATATACACACATACACACTGATCAGGCATAACATTATGACTCCTTGTTTCTACACTCATTGTCCATCTTATCAGCTCCACTTACTGTATAGGTGCACTTTGTAGTTCTACAGTTACAGACTGTAGTTCATCTGTTTCTCTGCATACTTTGTTAGCCCCCTTTTACCCTGTTCTTCAGTGGTCAGGACCCCCATGGACCCTCACAGAGCAGGTACTGTTTGGGTGGTGGGTCATTCTCAGCACTGCAGTAACACTGACGTGGTGGTGGTGTGTTAGTGTGTGTTGTGCTGGTCTGAGTGGATCAGACACAGCAGTGCTACTGGAGTTTTTAAACACCTCAGTGTCACTGCTGGACTGAGAATAGTCCACCAACCAAAAATATTCAGCCAACAGCGTCCTGTGGGCAGCGTCCTGTGACCACTGATGAAGGACTAGAGGATGACCAACACAAACTGTGCAGCAGCAGATGAGCTATCGTCTCTGACTTTACATCTACAAGGTGGACTGACAAGGTAGGAGTGTCTAATAGAGTGGACAGTGAGTGGACACTCCAGTGAAACTCCAGCAGCACTGCTGTGTCTGATCCACTCGTACCAGCACCACGTCAGTGTTACTGCAGTGCTGAGAATGATCCACCACCCAAATAGTACCTGCTCTGTGAGGGTCCATGGGGGTCCTGACCACTGAAGAACAGGGTAAAAGGGGGCTAACAAAGTATCAGAGAAACAGATGGACTACAGTCTGTAACTGTAGAACTACAAAGTGCACCTATATAGTAAGTGGAGCTGATAAAATGGACAATGAGCGTAGAAACAAGGAGGTGGTCATAATGTTATGTCTGATCGGTATATATGTGTATATATGTGTATATATGTGTGTGTGTGTGTGTGTGTGTGTGTGTGTACACACATTCACTGTCTTTGAAAGTGAATCTGGTTTGTCAGATCAGGTAGAACTGGTCTGCTGCACTGACCCCCATGTGCCTGCTGTTGGGGTCCGGGTCCAGGTAGTGTGGGTTAATGTTGAACGGGACCAGGCCGATGGCTGAGAAGGTTGGGGGGTAAACGATGGGCATGTCGTTAGTGGTGTTGATGCTGAAGGTGGCCACATTACTGCCCGCACTTGACCCCATGTACGGAACTCCGTCCTGTAAACACAACAGGACGCTGAGTTTACCTACAGTACCTACAGACTTCAGGACAGTATATGAACGGTTCTGCTGCAACATACATTACAGACCTTTTTTAAGAATTTTCTTTTTTTCTTGATATACGTTCTTGTGAGAGGGCTTTACACATGCAAGTATGGAAGCCCTATAAGGGCCATAGACTCCTATACCTTCTTTTTTATTGTTTTCCTGTAATAATGAGCAATTTTCATTCGTTTTCTCGAGATCTTGAGATATTTATGCTATTATCATGGGGAAAACCAATGCTGTTTTCTCAAAGATCTCAAGTTATTTATTATTATAATAACACACCAGACAGTGTTTTATTGAGATAACCCTCATTATGTTGTGATAATGGCATAAATATCTTGAGAAAACAGTGTTAAAAAAACATGCAAACCCATGGCCCTCTAGGGCTTCTGTATATAAGAGAAATGACTGCTGTATTATGATTAATACCACATTTATTAGAGAAACATGTCGTTTTCATGAACATCAGCTGATATTACAGCCCTTTTCAAAAACTCTATATACAAACTCATTTTAAACGGATCTACACAGCTTTATTGAACTCTTCGCATATTTAAGGATGGCACAACAATGACAACTTCTTGTTTTTTTATTTTTAATTTTTATTGCAGTTATTCTACACTAGCTCTCAAAGGTGTGACATCACTTTTCATATTAACATTTTTGTTACTTTATATACAGTCAGAACTGACTCCCTGTAGATTTCAAACATTGTAGATTTCCCAACGATGTTTATTTACATTCCTTCGTAAAGCACTTTGAGATTTTATCGCCAGGAAGGAGACGGGTGCCAGGGTCGTCATCTCCGGACCGCTCCCCACCTACAGGAGGGGATCCGAGGGGTTCAGTAGGCTCTTCGCGCTGCAGTCCTGGCTCCGCAGCTGGTGCGCCTTCAACGGCTTGGCCTACGTGGACACCTGGGGCTCTTTTGGGGAACAGCCAGCGCTCTACCGGAGGGACGGCCTCCATCCCAGCCGCCTGGGATCTGTTGTTCTCTCACGGAACATCGAGAGGGCCATCCGCTGACTCCAGAGTGAAGGCCATGTAAGTAGTGCCAAAAATAGAAACGCTGCAGCTCATAATGCTAGTGTTACTGCTGAAGATAAGGCGATTGCTAGCATTCATACTGTACATAGGGCAAGTGTTAATAAAAATACTTATTCTATAAATATAAATGCTCATAGGTGTCTCCCAGTAGAGACTGTGTCTGATCCCCGAATAAAACAAAACATCAAAGAGCCTCGAAAAGTTTGCTTCAGTAACTTGATTAATATCAGACCAGTTATACCAGTTTGCAGTGACAGCACCTTTGGTCTAAAACTAGGACCGCTTAACGTAAGATCCCTCAGATCTAAAGCCGTCATTATAATTGAAATTATTACCGATCACGGTTTTGATGCTCTGTGCCTCACAGAAACGCAGATTAGACCCGATGACTACTTTAGTCTAAACAAAGCCCCCCTCCCCACCCCCCACCCCCCAAGGCTACAGTTTAAGCCCTCGTTTAAGCAGCCGAGGTGGTATGGGAGGCAAATCCAGCCAAAAAGAAATTCAAATGAAAACAATAAAATGTAAATGCAAACCTCTTTCTGCCATTTCTTTTTCCAAACATCTATGCAAATATCCTGCTGAAATTGAAAATGAAATGAAATACCTACATTTGCAATTTCATTTTTCAAAATGCAGTGTTTACGTTCTTATTTCTCTTTCACAGCAATCAGCTGCATATCTGACAAAATGAAAATGAAACTGCAAAACTGATAAATCAACAGCAAAGTGACGGTCTGTGATTCAGTTTTCGGCGCGGACGCGCTTTAAGTGTCTGAATGAAAAGGCAAATGCAAACGAACATCAGCGCCACCTGCTGGAGATTTACTTTACATTTTTCACTTATCGTTTACGTGGATTAGACCCGATAAATACTTTAGTCTAAACAAAGCCACACCCCCGGGCTACAGCTATGCACATAGCCCTCGTTTAAGCGGCCGAGGTGGAGGTGTAGCAGCCATCCATACTAAAGCTTTAGGCGTGAGGCAGAAAGTAGGCTATACATTCTCTTCTTTTGAAGTTCTTTTTCTTAATATAAGTGATCAAGGAACACATAAAAATTCCTTTGCACTAATTACAATTTACAGGCTGCCAGGGCCGAATTCTCAGTTCTTACAGGAATTCTCTGAGTTTCTATCAAGTCTAATAACGCTTTCAAATAAAATAATAGTTGTCTGAGTTTTTAATATCCACTTTGACAATCCTCAAGATGCACCAAGCAAGGCATTTATATCTATCATAGACTCCATAGGTTTCACCCAAATCATAAAGGGGCCCACACACTACCACAACCACACTCTAGACTTAATACTGACCTTTGGTGTAGACAGATAATTTAGCCATTCTCCCCCAGAGCACAGCAGTCTCTGACCATTACTTAATCTCTTACGAAACTCACTTTAGTGGTAATGTGTGTTCATCACCATGTTATTGTAACTCCCTCCACAGCTGGTAGCTTTATCAGAAACCTTCAATTATCAGCTTCTCTCAGCTGTCCATCTAATCCTACCGAGTTAGATACTATGACCAAGCTCTTAGAGGATAGTTTTCGATCTACTCTAGATAGTGTGGCCCCATTAAAAAGTAAAATAGTAAGGCAGAAAAAACCCGCCCCTTGGTATAATGACCACACTCGGGCTTTAAAACAGACCGCCAGACAACTAGAGCGAAAATGGCGCCTGACTAAGCTAGAAGTGTTCCAGTCCGCCTGGAAGGAGAGCCTTATAGACTACAGAAGAGCACTTGCTACAGCACGCTCAGCTTATCTCTCCTCTCTCATAGAAAACAATAAGAATAATCCTAGATTACTTTTCAGCACAATCTCTAAACTAACAGAGAACAAAACAGTTAGTGAACCCCAGATGCCATCAGCCCATAGCAGCAACGATTTTATGAACTTCTTTAGTGACAAAATTAAAAAAAATTAGGCAGAAAATTCAGAATATACAATTAAACTCTACAAACCTGCTGCCTTATAATGCCAGCCTCAATCTTGAGAATACTATAAACCCTGCAGAAAGGCTGGAATCGTTTACCTTACTCCAAGAAAATGAACTAGTGAAAATAGTTTCCTCTGCAAAATCATCTACTTGTATGTTAGATCCGATTCCTACAGGTTTACTCAAGGAAATTTTGCCAGAAATAACCAAGCCTGTTCTGTCAATAATAAACTCCTCTCTTAGATTTGGATACATCCCAAAAACTCTTAAACTAGCAGTAATTAGACCGCTGATTAAGAAAGCGAACCTCGATCCATGCGAACTATCAAATTACAGACCCATCTCGAATCTCCCCTTTATATCTAAGATCTTGGAAAAAGTTGTAGCAAAACAATTAAGCTCCTATTTGCACAGGAATCAAATACATGGAAAATTCCAATCTGGTTTTAGGCCACATCATAGCACAGAGACAGCACTAGTAAAAATTGTAAATGATCTATTATTATTCTCCGACCAAGAAAAAGTGTCCTTGTTAGTCCTCCTCGATCTTAGTGCGGCATTTGACACAATAGACCACACTATCTTACTAGACAGACTAGAAAACCTTGTAGGGGTAACAGGAATAGCTCTTTCCTGGTTCCGGTCCTACCTCACTGATCGCTATCAGTTTGTTAATATAAACGGTGAATCATCTGCCCTCGCAAAAGTAAAGTATGGTGTTCCACAAGGCTCTGTTTTAGGACCTGTATTATTCACATTATATATACCACCACTGGGCACCATTATCAGTAAACACGGCATAAACTTCCACTGCTATGCCGATGAAACTCAGTTATATTTAGCAAGTGACCCAGATGATAGAATTAAACTTAGCAAGATTGAGGACTGTATAAAAGATGTAAAAGACTGGATGTCGAGTAACTTTCTCCTTCTAAACTTGGAGAAAACAGAGGTTCTGCTTCTTGGTCCAAAAGCAGCGAGAAACAAACTGTCTAATTTAACACTTAAACTTAATTTCTCAGTTGCATCAAGCTCATCTGTAAAAAGCCTTGGTGTCATTATAGACCCTGATCTGTCCTTCGACGCACATATAACTAATATTACTAGAACAGCCTTCCTGCATCTCCGCAGTATTGCTAAATTAAGAGATGCATTATCTCTACAGGATACAGAAAAGTTCATTTATTACTTCAAGGCTAGATTACTGTAATGCCCTGCTGGCTGGATGTCCCAGCAAAAGCCTTAACAAGCTTCAGCTAGTCCAGAACGCTGCAGCCAGAGTTCTTACTAGAACCAGAAAGTTCGACCATATCAGCCCAGTTTTATCAACCTTACACTGGTTACCAGTTAAATTTCGCATTGATTATAAAATTTTCTTACTGACTTACAAAGCACTAAACGGACTCGCCCCGCTGTACCTGAGTGAACTTCTCTCTCACTATGAACCATCACGCCTACTTAGATCACAAGGTGCTGCTCACTATTAGTACCTAGAATTAATAAAGTTACGTCAGGGGGGAGAGCTTTCTCATACAAAGCCCCCCAGCTTTGGAATAGTCTTCCTGTTAATGTTCGGGACTCAGACACAGCCTCAGTGTTTAAGTCTAGGCTAAAAACTTACTTGTATAGTCAAGCCTTTGGTAATTAGTTTTCCCTGTTAGTTCTACACCTGCCAGAGTCTCTGCTGCTCTGCTAACACTGTAATCTGTGATCAGTCACCCATTACAGAACTGACTCTCAGTTCTGTCAGTCACTCATTACAGAACTGACTCTGTGTGTTTTTCCTTTCTTTCCTTTGCCGAGTTGAACAGCTGCCCATCCTGTGCGTCTGATGCTGCTGCCTCTTCTGCCTTGATCTGGTGCCACTGCTCGTCGTGCAAACCTCACCCTCACAACCTGACCCCACTGATGCTGCTGCTGCTGCTGCATGAACTAAACTAATCAAATTAATCATTTATTCCACCTGTTTTCCCTGTTTTTGTACTAACAATGTTTACTATCCGGTGTCGACCAGAGGAGGATGGGTTCCCCTTCTGAGTCTTGGTTCCTCTCAAGGTTTCTTCCTGTTCCTAGGGAGTTTTTCCTTGCCACTGTCGCCTCTGGCGACGCTTATGGGGGCTCGGACCCGAATTTCTTTCTGTAATGCTGATTTCCTTGTAAAGCTGCTTTATGACAACACCTGTTGTAAAAAGTGCTATATAAATAAACTTTGCTTGCTTGCTTAAAATTAAAAGTGCTATATAAATAAAACAATTTATTATATAAGTAATTATTATTGACATTATTATATTAGTAACAATAATCATTATTATTATTAGTTGTAGTCATAGCAGTAGTAGTGCTATCTGCCTCTGAATTTGATCTCCATATTTGGTGACTATATTAAATTCTGGACATTAATTTATTAGAACTTTGGTCATGATGTTCTACTTTGTACTCTTACAGCTCTGTTCGCCAGTCTGGACACATCTAACATTTGTACATGTGATTTTTAGCTGCCTAGTGTCCTATTAGTTATCTGAAAGCTGTTAAGTTTTCCAGCACTTCACACTGTGTGATGGATCATCTGCTGCGGTGTAGAACATGTAAGGCCGTGTGTAGGTGGGACAGTAATAAACACGCTCACCTGAAGGACTCTTGTCCTAATCTCCGTCACTAGGTTGTGGTCATAGAGAGCTTTCAGCAGGCGAAACGTGTTACCACCACCTGACGAACACAGAGGAACGAAATCACAGTAAACAGCATCAACTCAGATGTAGTAGATGCAGTAATGGTGAGTGCAGTAATGGTGAGTGCAGTAATGCAGCAGCACGGCTCGTCTTCAATCTCCCCAAGTTCAGCCACGTCACCCCACTGCTGCGCTCCCTTCACTGGCTTCCTGTAGCTGTTCCATCAGATTTAAAACCCTTATGCTTGCCTACAAAGCCAAAAATGGACCAGCCCCTCGCTACTTAATGGCAATGGTCAAAACTCGAACTGTACCATGAAGCCCTTCGAGCTTTGAGTACAGCAGGGCTTGACCCGCCATCCTTCAAGACGCACGGTCTTTAAACGCAGACTGAAGACCGTCTCTTTATACAGCACTTAAATGAGCACTGAGTTAAGTATTGATTGTAATGTTTTGTACTGCACTTATGTATTATATTGTATTGTATTGTATTGTATTGCACTGCTCTGTGTTTAACTCTGTCCCTTTTCTTTAGGTGTCAGTAATGACCTTCTGATTCTAGCAGTATCTGAGCTCAGGACTGACTTTCTCTCTAACCTATTGGTAACTAGCAAAGATACTTTTTCTGCATAGACAAAGCACTTTTTGTAAGTCACTCTGGATAAGAGCGTCTGTTAAATGATGTAAATGTAATGTAAATGTAATGGTGTGTGCAATAATGGCGTGTGCAGAAATGGTGAGTGCAGTAATGGTGTGTGCAGAAATGGTGAGTGCAGTAATGGTGTGTGCAGAAATGGTGAGCGCAGTAATGGTGTGTGCAGAAATGGTGAGTGCAGAAATGGTGTGTGCAGTAATAATGATTGCAGTAGTGTGGTGTGAGCAGGAATAGTGTGTGCAGTGAGGGTGTGCGCAGTAAGGTTGTGTACAGTAATAGTGTGCTCAGTAATAGTGTGCACATTAATACCATGAACAGTACTAATGTGTGCAGTAATGGTGTGTGCAGTGAGGGTGTGCATAGTAATTGTGGGCAGATTACTGGTGTGTGCAGTGAGGGTGTGCACCGGTAAAGGAGTGCATATTAATATTGTGCACAGTAATACTGTGTGCAGTAATAGTGTGCGCAGTAATGGTGTCGGCAGTGAGGGTGTGAGCAGTGAAGGAGTGAGCAGGAATAGTGTGCACAGTACTAATGTGTGCAGTAATAGTGTCGACAGTGAAGGTGTGTGCAGTAATGGTGTCGGCAGTGAGGGTGTGAGAAGTCAGGGTGTGCGCAGTGAGTGTGTGAGAAGTCAGGGTGTGCGCAGTGAGGGTGTGAGAAGTCAGGGTGTGCGCAGTGAGGGTGTGAGAAGTGAGGACGTGCGCAGTGAGCAGTGAGGGTGTGAGCAGTGAGCAGTGAGGGTGTGAGCAGTGAGCAGTGAGGGTGTTCGGCAGTGAGGGTGTGAGCAGTGAGGATGTGAGCAGTGAGGGTATGCGCAGTGAAGGTGTGTGCAGTGAGCAGTGAGGGTGTGCATCTAAAATTTACAGCTTCCTAACAGGTTATTTTTAGTGGTGACATTTTAATAGAATCATTTTATACATGTAAACAGTGAGTCTTATTGATCGGTAGTGTAAATAACATCCATACCAATAAAAATGCCCTCCGCATTCCGAACAGCCTCCACCGGGTCGGCAGCCTCGTGAACGCTGTCCACCTCATAACCTGCAGGACCACAGCACATATCAGACGGAGACAGAAACAGACTGACCAGCTTCAGTACAGATGAATAGCGTATAAAGAGTCGAACCCAGAGTCTTCAGCTTGTCTCGGGCAGTTTTGGTGTAGGAGTCGCGGTTGTGCAGAGCGTAAGGGACAAACAGGATCCTCTTCACCTGCCTGAGAACACACGGCACACAGCACGGCTCATTAATCCAACAGACCTATCTGTCTATCTCTCTATCTGTCTGTCTCTCTATGTGTGTGTCTGTCTATCTATTGATCTGTATGTCTGTCTGTCTATCCGTCTGTGTGTCTGTCTATTGATCTGTTTTTCTGTTTGTCTGCCTGTATATCTGTTTCCCTGTCTATCTCTCTCTGTCTGTCTATCTGTGTGCCTGTCTGTCTTTCTATGTGTCTCTCTGTGCATCTATCGATCTGTATGTGTTTGTTTGTCTATCTTTCTATGTGTCTGTCTCTACCTATCTGTCTGTCTATGCTTGTCTGTCTGTCTATCTATCTCTCTATGTGTCTGTCTGTCTATCTATTTGTCTATGTATCTCTCTCTCTATCAGTCTGTCTGTCTATCTGTCTATGTGTCTGTCTGTCTATCTTTCTATTTGTCTCTCTATCTATCAATTTGTATGTCCGTCTGTTTGTCTATCTTTCTATGTGTCTGTCTGTCTATCTATGCGACTGTCTGTCTACCTGTCTGTCTATCTATTTGTCTATGTATCTCTCTCTCTATCAGTCTGTCTGTCTATCTGTCTATGTGTCTGTCTGTCTATCTTTCTATTTGTCTCTCTATCTATCAATTTGTATGTCCGTCTGTTTGTCTATCTTTCTATGTGTCTGTCTGTCTATCTTTCTATTTGTCTCTCTATCTATCAATTTGTATGTCCGTCTGTTTGTCTATCTTTCTATGTGTCTGTCTGTCTATCTATGCGACTGTCTGTCTACCTGTCTGTCTACCTGTCTGTCTATCTATTTGTCTATGTATCTCTCTCTCTATCAGTCTGTCTGTCTATCTGTCTATGTGTCTGCCTGTCTATCTTTATGTGTCTGTTTATCGACCTATCAGTCTGCCTGTTTGTCTGTCTGTCTGTCCATCTAATCAAATCAGTTTAATTCAACTTCACTTTGTTCAGCACTTTTCCTAATATGAACTTCAAATTAATTTAATTAAATCTGATTAGATGTGCAACTGCTCCAAATTACAGCCTATAGGAGTCTATCAGACACATAACAGTGACATCATACAGTCATCAGCTCTCAGTACTGCTGTGTGTGAAATCCATATTCACAGTCACTGCAAAGGAAATCGATAAACTGATTGAAATCATGGTGACTGGATTCATGGTACGATCTTAAATATTATAATAGTCCAGTCAAGTCCAGTCGCCTTCATTTATTACTCCTAGACAACTGACTGACTGAAAACTTTCACAGACGAGTGGATAAACTGATGATCTGAGTAACCTACTTGCCGAAGAAGTCAGAGATCTGCTGCTGACAGTGCTCCAGATATCCTCCTCCATGCAGAGTGGAGTTGGACACCAGCAGCAGCCTCCTCTTCATGCTGACAGAGTGAAGACCACCAGAGGAACCTGCCGGGGAACTGAGAGCAGCGCAGTCAGCAGCACATGACTAGAAGAAGGGCTGGACTTCTCTTTTCCTCTGAGTCTGACCTTTGGCCCCTGAGGGGAGGTGTATGTGTGTGTGTGAGTGTGTGTGTGTGTGTGTTGGGGTGGGGGGGTCATATCAGTCAATAAAGCACCTTTGCCCTGACTGTATTAGAAGTTGTGAAATGTGGGAGGGTTTGTAGATCAAAGCCCAGCAGAGCGGCTTTTATTATCACAGACATTAAAGCAGGAGGGCCGAAAGACTGAAAGGTTTGAAAATACATCACTTTTACTTTCACATTTTTTTTCTTATGCTATTTTTGTTGTGATTTTTATTTTCTTACGCTTTTTATTTTCTTGTACGTTCGTAATATTTATGTTCTTGTGCTTTTATTTTCACGTGCTTTATTTTCTGGTGCCTTTATTTACATTTTTATGTGTTTGCACGTTTTGATCTGTATTTTATTATGTCATATTTTATTTTATTTTATTTTTGGGACCACGGAGAAAAAAATAGTTGTTAACTGATACGAATTTTAAAATAAATGCAACCACATGCAGCCTATTTATTTATTTATTTGTTTGTTTGTTTGTTTGTTTGTCAGCACGTAATGGTAAATGATGGGCACCGTGTGTTGCTGAGAAACCTCTCTAATCTAATATATATGGGCATTTAATTCTTTATTTTTTCGGTCCTGTGCTGAGTGTAAGCGCGCTGCCGTGTCTTTTATTTTGTCAGGAGTCCTCGTGCCCCGGATGCAGAGCGAGCGATGGCGGGCTCCGAGCTGCACGCTTTGATTTTGAAGCTTCACGATGTCCAGGCGGTTAAGTTCGGACTGTTCAAACTGAAGACCGGACTGACCTCTCCGATCTACTTCGACCTGAGGGTCATCATCTCTTACCCCGAGCTGCTGAAACAGGTAGAGAGAGAGAGAGAGAGAGAGAGAGCATGAGTGTCAGTGAGAGAGAGAGCATGAGTGTGAATGAGAGAGAGAGAGTAAATGAGAGCACATGTTTTTAATTTTTTTTTATCATGCCTTGTTTTCGTGCACTTTATATTTACATTATTATTATTATTGTGCTTTTATTTTATTTTTCCATGCTTTATTTTCTTATGCTTTTTATTTTCCAGCACGTTTTCTGCATGGTTCTTTATTTTCTTGTGCTTTTATTTATTTTTTTTAATATTCTTTTATTTACTTGTTCTTTTTTTGTTCCTCAGTTTGTTCTTTTGCTTTTATTTTATTTTCCTATGCTTTGTTTTCTTGTGCTTTATTTTATTTATTTTATGCTTTTTTTCTTGTACTTTTCTTGTATGTTTTTATTGTCTTGTAGTTTTATCTTCTTATGTTTGTTTTTTCTGCTTTTATTTTATTTTCTCATGCTTAATTTTCTTGCGATTTTTATTTTTTTGCGCTTTTATTTTCTTATACTTTTTGTTTTATTACATTTCTTTTTAGACTTTTGTTTTCTTGTGCTTTTATTTCAGTTTCTCGTGTTATTTAACGACTTTATTTTATTTTATTGTGACTTTTTTTCCTATTTTCTTGCACTTTTCTGTTTTCCTTTCCTTTTACCAGCACCCCCGCGACCCAGAAGAATAAGCGGTTTAGATGTGTGTGTGTGTGTGTGTGTGTGTGTGTGTGTGTGTGTGTGTGTGTGTGTGTGTGTGTTTGTTTGTTTGTTTTCATTTTAATTTATTGTGGTTTTATATTATTTTCTTCTTAGTGTTTTTATGTTCTTGCTCTCAGGTGTCCAGTCTGCTGTATAAGTGTGCTGAGGATGCTGCGGCAGAGTTCGACTGCGTGTGTGGGGTCCCGTACACAGCGCTGCCGCTGGCCACCATCATCTGCTCCACCAAGGACTACCCCATGCTCATCCGCAGGAAAGAGGCCAAGGACTACGGTAAACACACTGTTTAACAGCAGGGTGATGAGACAGTGGTGCTCAAAATAATCTGCTTCAGACTAACACGCCTCAAAGCTCCTGTGCAAAACTTTGGACACTGAACATCGACTACGTTCAGATTATTTTCAGTGCGGATCCTCTGACTCTCTTTAACCTCCTCTCACGTCTCTTTAACCTCAGGAACGAAGCGGCTGATAGAGGGAAACGTGCGGCCGGGTGACGTGTGTCTAATCGTGGAGGACGTGGTGACGAGCGGCGGCAGCGTGCTGGAGACAGCTCAGGTGCTGCAGGCTGAAGGATTAAAGGTCACGGATGCCGTGGTTCTGCTGGACCGGGAGCAGGGGGGCGGGGCGAGGCTCAAGGCTGAGGGCATCACTCTCCACCCGGTCATCAGCATCTCCACCCTTCTGTCTGTGCTGCTCGGCGCCGGACGCATCGACGAGGGTTAGTACAGGTTTTATTTTCCCTCCTGTTTCTACAAATGTGTCCAGACAGCCCTTATAATGAGTTCATCCAGCTATTCTAAAGGAGTTTGCTGCAGTAACAGCTTCTACTCCCCTGAGAAGGCTTTACACTAGATGTTGGAACATTGCTGTGAGGATTTGATTGAGCATTAGTGAGGTCAGGTACTGATGTTTGACGAAACTTCAGCCTTGTGACTTTTTAGTGTTGGTCAGTTTCTCGTTGCAGATTAAACGTATCAGGAAACCAGCTGGAGTGATTATAAATGCAAATAAGTCCATTCATCTCTAAATTATCAACGTTCGTCTTAAATCTCTCTCTTTGCCGTTTCGTTAGTTACTAGCTAGGCGAGACTGTTGTATGTGTTGCTATGGTGACCAGCAGTCTGCGCTGATCTTCAGGGTTAAAGGGTGAATCAGCAGTTCTACATTAACTCCAGAGTTTAAGACCATTTATAGTTAAACTGTGTTGAACGACCAGCAGAGCTTTATTTTACTGTAAAGGAGGATTATTTTATTGTTACCTACAAATCTGATTCTGCTGTGGAGCCACAACAGGGCAGTAAAAGAGCCGCATGTTTCTGTCCCTAGTGTAGGTCAAAAATTTAACCACAATGCTGCAAAAAGCGAATTATGTCTTATCATAAATGTCTCGATGCTATGAATGTAATTGACAGCTTTGCAACTAAGTATTAATGTTATTATTTTTTTGGTAAATTTGAAGTTAATTTGTGCACTGGAATATTAAATAACAAAAACAGAAGACTCTGAATATTTGCTTTTCCTTACTACAGTTCAAGACCGTCAGTAATGATTTAATTGTATTTTTCTTCATTTAATGCCACTTTAAAGCTTCTAATTTGGCCTAATAGCTGTTGTGCTTACTCACACCCGAACGACGGCCAGTAAAACAAGTTTATTTCCAGTTTTCTGCTCCCAAAAGTTCTGATACTGCATGCAGTGGTAAACAGGGTTAAATGTAGGTAAAGTAAATTTCCTATGTAATGCATTTCCACTGATTGTTCATGTATGTTGACCTTGATTTTCACAGCCACCTGCCACAGTGTGGAAAAGTTCATCCAGGAGAATCAGACCTTCAGCGCTGGTCAGCAGGACGTCTCCCCACCCGTGAAGAAGAAGTGTGAGGAGCTGAGTTATGGAAAGCGAGCCGCTCTCTCGGGAACTCACCCCGTGGCCTCGCGGCTGCTCCGACTGATGGAGCAGAAGAGCAGTAACCTGTGCGTGTCGGCGGACGTGACCCGCACAGAGGAGCTGCTTGAGATCGCCGAGACGCTCGGGCCGCTCATATGCGTCCTGAAGACCCACGTGGACATCCTGCAGGACTTCAGCCCCGAGGTGGGCAGCAGGCTGAAGGAGCTGGCAGAGAGACACAACTTCCTCATCTTCGAGGACCGCAAGTTCGCAGATATCGGGAACACAGTGAAGCACCAGTATGAAGGTCTGTGTTGGGGGGTCGTTTCGGGGTTCTTTTTAGTCCTTTGTCTGAGTATATTAAAATAGGGCTGGACAATATGATGATAAATTATGCCACAGTATGTCACAAGATGCCTTTTTTTTTCTTTTTTTTTTGCATATCATGGACGTCACCAGTACAACACTTAAAACACTTCCCAGCTGTGTGTTTCATTACAAAGAGAGCATCATTTATTTGGAGAGCATATCTAATTGGATTTAGTGCAGCACAATCTGTGAAATGTCAATTACAAAACATAGTATGCATAGTTTTTAGTAATTGTGAAATCTGGCACAATTTTTTCTGTTGCAATTTATCAGAAGTCAGAAAAAAATAAATATTGTGATATATGGTATATCATGACTTCTTGAAATATGGAGATATTACATTTTTGACATATTGCCCACCTCTAGGTTGAAAAAAAAATTAATGAATAAATTTGTCTCTACCCAAACAATCATAACTTGACCAAAACTTTACCAAATGTTTCAGTAGTGACTGTTTCGGTGACAATTTTAACTCATTTTGAGCTCAAAAACGCAGTCAGTACATAACCAGCGCAAACAGCTTTGAACAGCTGAAAATCATATTTTTCATTAAAACACTAAAAAATGTTTACTAAACTGCAGAAAATCTGTGTTTCTGTAGTAACAATTCTTAATGTTCCACAGTGATTTTCAGACTTTAGGACACATTTACTTCAAAACAATGGGATCTAATTGCTCACCATGAGGGCCAGGAATGCAGCCTCACTTCCAGCTCTAAAATGCAGGGGCGGGGCTAAAATAAGGCTCCACCTACAGGCTAAAACTTTGTGTTGTAGTGACATGAAAATGTGGGACAGCATTTTTTTGAATAACAGTTTTTAATATATAAATTAACTTACAACCTCTCTTTAAAAGAAATTAAAAAAATATTAAAACACCAAAAAATGTAAGTTTTGTTTTCACGAGTGAAAATTTAGGATTCAGGACAGACACCTTTCTGTAGGAAGTATCCCATGAATGATGAGTTTCTATATATTTAGCTTATTTATTGTCTCTGTTAATGTCTTGGGTTTAAGTAGATCAGAACAATTCTTGTAAGTATCTAATCAGTGAATGTTTGTTTTTTATATTGTCATTTTAAGTAGTTTTCTTTATTGTGATAATGCAGTGAACTAATTAGGTAGAATGGTGCATATAAAGTAAGTGTGTGTGTGTGTGTGTGTGTGTGTGTGTGTGTGTGTTTCAGGTGGGCTGTATCAGATCTCCTCGTGGGCACACATCGTTAACGCCCATACGTTGCCCGGGCCTGGTGTGGTTGAGGGTTTGCAGGCGGTCGGTCTGCCTCTGGGCCGCGGCTGCCTCCTCATCGGCCAGATGAGCTCTCGGGGGTCACTCATCACCACAGAGTACACGCAGGCTGTGGTAAGACTTCTTATCTGGGGAATCAATCAAGAAGATTAAAAAACACAATCAAAAACTATGAATATGATTTTTATTCAACATTTAACACATTCCACTAAATCCAGTTAAACAGGCCTAAATATGCTCTCACTGTAATAAAACATGTCAGTGTCTTCAGGTACTGAGGGTACTGATCATATTGCCCAGTTCTAATTCGTCCTTCTGAACTCACTTGTGCTCTTTTTCATGTCTGGAACACAATTTATGACGTAAAGAAAATTAAGCTAGCTGGTGAGAGGCTGTGATCAGCTAACAGAGCTGTGCTGTTTTTCCTTATAATGTTAATGTGTTTTTTGCTGCACATATGACGTCTTAAAAGGTAGTAAAAATTGTGCATCATTTGATGCTGGTCAGTGAGATGATTGAGATTTCCTGAAGCTGACTGGTTTCCCTCCCAGGTGAAGATGGCGAACGATTACCCGGACTTTGTGTTTGGCTTCATCAGCGGCTCAAAGATCAGCTGTAAACCGGAACACATCCACATGACGCCGGGGGTGCAGATGCAGAGTGGAGGTACACGGTCATTTACGGTGAAACTATCTACAATTAGATCTAACAGCCCTGCATGTGAGTTTGCAGCTCTTAAAAAGCTACCACCAGATGGCGCCGCAGTTCTATATGACAGTGAACATTTTTTTTTTGGATTAATTTGGGTGGTGGATCATTCTCAGCACAGCACTGACACTGACATGGGGTGTGGGTGGGTGTGTGTGTGTGTGTGTGTGTGCTGGTACGAGTGAATTAGACAGCAGTGTTGCTGGACACATCAGTGTCAGTGCTGGGTTGCTGGAAGGTGTTTTATGTTGGTTATACTGAGATTTTAAGCAGAGAATATGTGACGTGATTGATGTCATGCAAAATTATTAGACTTCAGTTCTGATTAAAAAAATCCCAGTGCCAAACTTCACAATGGTTCAGATAATTTGGTACGATTTAGAAATGTTTATAAAAATACACTGAATACACAAAAGTGATAAACGGCCCATATCCTACATTTTTCATTTATTTTTATTTTTCCCAGGGTCCACTTCTAACACTATGCACATAAAATGGTCATGATTAATTCTTACATGATCAATTTGCAACCTCCAATCCCTTAAACAGGCTGAGTGGCTGCTTCATTCAGAAAGCATTCAGAGCTGAAACACTCCTTAGAGCTTCAGTGTGAGGGGGCGGAGCTAAACTGCTTTGGCCGAACAGGCAGATGCATCTGAATGCGTTGGTTTTTGTGACATCACAGAAACTGAATTTAAAACAGGCTGTTTTTTAGAGTTTAGTTTCCATATATGGACTGTGGACTGAGGAGCGAACAGGATATGTTTAATTTTTGACAGTGTTTACATGTAACTTCAAACTCGCAAGGCAAGTTTCCATAATATTGACCCTTTATGTTTGTGTTTTTAACTTTAATTATTAATTTTTTGAAATGTTATTAAAATCGAATCCATCTTAATATCAGTAGAGCAGTTTGCTCCATCATGATGCATTTCCACCCCTGTAGTGCTGTTCTATCCACTGATCCTCCTGTTCGTTTGTCCTCCAGGCGACGATCTCGGGCAGCAGTACTCCACTCCGGACGAGGTCATTGGCTCCAAAGGCTCTGACATCATCATCGTGGGGAGAGGGATCATCGGCAGTGCGGACCGGCTGAAGGCAGCGGAGGAGTACAAGCGTGCGGGCTGGGAGGCGTATCTGAACAGGCTGTCTCCGCTCAGCTAACCACGTCCACAAATGATCCTGATCCTAGTTTACAGCCTGATCTCAGCATTCCTTCTGCTCCCGCAGACGCAGATCAGGATTTTCCAGGCTAGGAGTGATCTAACTACACCATCTTTACACATTGCTATGATTTTCCTGCTCGTGTGGAGGGATTAATAATTACTCAGTGAGTTAAATGAGCAGTTGAGTCCATCAGCAGCACAAAAGAGAAACCATTTCTGAGGTCTCAGGCACTCAGCTGTTGTTTATGTGGGCAGTAAGTGTGTTTTGGCCAGTCACAACATTATATAATGTTAGAATAAATACAAATAAACATAAATACAGTAAAATGTAATAATGCATTGCCTTCAGTCAACTTATGAATATTGTCAATGTCCAAAAAAACAATAATAATTAATAATAATATAAAATAAATAAAAAAATAATAATAAGCTTTATTTATATTGCACTTTTTCAAGCAAAGCTTCACAAAGTGCTTTACAAAAGATAGAAATAAATCAAAATTGCCAAACTAAACAATGAAAAGACAAAAAGAAATAAGAAAAGAAAACATTAAAAATGTAAATGCAAACAACAAAAGCAGTAAAACAAACATTTTAAAAGTGATTGTGCACATGGTAAAATTAATAAAATGTTAATTAAAAGCTAATCTAAACAAGTGGGTCTTAACTTTCCTCTTAAATATGACAAAATCTTAAAAAAACAACAAAAAAAACAGTTTCTCCAAATATGGAGAAGGCAAGAATGTTCTTTACTTTTAATGCAAGTTAATGTAAAGAGGTCTTATTCCAAGCAATTGTGGAGCATCTCTTACTATTATTAATCTTTTTTTTTCTTTTTTTTGAGAGAGACATAGACTATATGTATGTTAATAATAAGACCTGATTAGAACGGGGGGCCCAGTCCTGGTCCTGGAGCTCTACCACCCTGCAGAGTTCAGCTTCAGATCTAATCTAACACACCTGATCCAGGTAATGGAGGCCTTCAGGGGCCAGATGTGCTGGATGTGAACTCTTCAGGGTGGTAGATCTCCAGGACCAGCCTGTCATAATTAGATAAACTGGGTGTTGGATGGTAACTATAAATTGCCAGAATGGATTGTTTTTGTTTATTTGTTTTTATTCTAGTGTTATTATTTCTTTGACAAATAAATGCTTCCTGCCCAGATAAATGGCTTCACATATCATTTTCACTGATGGCCTCAAACGTCTGCACTGTACTGTTTGCCTGAAGTTGACATTACTGATTATTTCCGACACGTTTGCTTTGCGATGCCTCGTCTCTCTGTTACATTCCTTACCGTCAGCCAGCATGCGGATTTCCAGATCGTCAGTTTCTGTTATTAAACTGGCTCAAATACATTTCAGTTAATTTAAGAATTGTGTAAATGACTATTTTACGCTGTGATGGTGATGATGATGATGATGATGATGATGATGATGGTGGTGATGTGATAATTCCGCCCACTTTGTTACTGAGTGTCTTTAATAACTGCTGTGTTCTGTTCAGTTTTTTTGATGGTCCTGAAAGTTTTTTTGCCAAATAAAATGTGATCAGTATTGTAGAATTAATTACTTTTGTCAATAAATCACATTTGATACAATAATTTAACCTCTAAATGTTTTGTTTGGCTTCTAAAGGGTGTCTGGCTTTACGTTAGTCAGGTCAGTTATATAGTTCTGAGCACTATTCAGTTTGTTTACAGAGCCGGTGCAAACACAGGACGGCGATGTGTATCCCTGCTGTCGGAGCAAAACCTTTATCTCCAAAATGGTAACTTTACAGGAGAAGGAAAAAACATGCTTTACCTTTAATGTAAGTCAATGGAACCAGACGTCTTTCCAAGTCATTTTGGGCCGTTTCTTTTAGTCCATTCATCATAAAATTTACACACAATGTAAAGGCAAACAGACATTTTCACATTATGTCAAAAACTGAAAAATGGAGATAAAAAGGGTCTTGTGCTTGGGGTCAGAAGCCCCCTACGGCGAATTCTACACCTATTTGTCGCCTCAGTTTTAGGCAACGTATAATTTTATGTCTCTAATATTGTTTTCAAAAATGATCAGTTTAGATTTTCAAAATATTAGAATGAACATATAATAATTAGAAATAAGAATTCAAATTAAAAATATATTAAAATGAAATTGAGCCCCTGTAAATTTGTCTTAAAGACCTCATTGTAATAAACTACGCGCTTAATAAAGCTGGTTCTTCAAGGGTTCTTTAGTAAAGAAAATAGGTGTGTATAGAACCGTGAACGCTCAAAGAACCCTTTGCATGATTAAAGTGTTCTTTGCATCGTATAAGGGTTCTTCAGATTGATGGAGAACGTGTGGAGGTGTTTTTTATGGTTATATGTAGAATCTTTTTAAAAGGGTTCTATATAGCACCAAAAAGCGTTCTTCAGATTGATGGAGTGTGTTTTTTTATGGTTCTATATAGCACCAAAAAGGTTCTTCAGATTGATGGTGAGTGTGCTGTAGATAGTTCTATATAGAATTTTTCTTTTGAAAGGGTTCTATATAGCACCAAAAAGGGTTCTTCTGTTGTATCAGTCTTGACACTGTAACAATAGAAGAACCCTTTTTGGTGCTATGTAGAACTATGTAGAAAAAGATTCTATATAGAACCGTGTACAGCTCACTCTCCATCAATCTGAAGAACCTTTCACAATGCAAAGAATCCTTTAATCATCTAAAGGGTTCTTTTAGTGTTCATGGTTCTACATGGTCAATTATATTAATTATTTGAATAGTTATTGATATTATTATTATAAAAGATGTAAAATGGACGATATTTTGTAACAATAATAACATTTTCCTTTAAATTGTAGAACTTATTGTTTCTACTCAGATGTTTTTTGAACTGAAGTTAATCAAAGCTGCTCATTTCTGAAGCTGTAATAAAGCAGTAGTGCAGTAGCAGCTCCGCCAGCAGGGGGCGCTGTGTTCATGAAGCTCAACATCTGCTCCTAAACGGCTATGCAAATAAAGCACAGCGTTACTGGGTTACTGTGGCAGGTAAACAGCTCAGAGGAGCTTCTTAACTTTTTAGTTTGGATAAAAGCTTTAAAAAGTCTCTCAGAGGTAAAAACGTGATTGAACTGATCATTTTCAGAGTAATCTGAGAAATATTAACATTAACTCTCGTAAGTGTATTTTAAATCTGTCCTCTAAGGCCTGAGCGGCTCTTGTGGAGGTCAGCGGTCATTAAGGTGAGTGAGTGTGTCTTTGGACAGGTGGGAGCTGTTTGGTTTGATTTTATGAGCTGAAGCTTTTAGTGCTGTTTACCTCCATCAGCTGTAGATCAGTAAACCAGCCTGCCTGACCAGCTGCAGCAGAGTGATCTCATCAGGCCACGCCCCCTGTCCGGCTTCATAAGCCACGCCCACTGTGGGGCTCCTTAGCCCCACACTTTGCCTCTTGTAAGGCCACGCCCCCTTAGTGTGTGTGTGTGTGTGTGTGTGTGTGTGTTTGTCATCAGGCCACGCCCCTTTAGTCTGTGTTTGTGTTTTTCACTAGGCAATACCTTTTTGATGTGTGTCTTTAATCAGGCCACACCCCCTTGGGAATCTGTGTGTGTGTCTTTCATCAAGTCACTCTCCTTTTTTGTGTTTGTCTTAGCAGGCCACGCCCCTTTGCGTGTGTCCTTTATTAGACCACTCCCCTTTAATTGTGTCCCTCATTAGGCTTGCCACTTTTGTATGTCTACAATCAGGCCACACCCTCTTAGTGTGTGTCATCGGTGACACCCCTTTGCATGTGTCTTTCATCAAGCCATGCCTTTTCAGTGTATGTTTGTCATCAGGCCACGCCCCTTTGGTCTGTGTGTGTGTCTTTCATCGAGTCACTCGCCCTTTGTGTGTTTGTCTCATCAGGCCACGCCCCTTCAATTGTGTGTCCTTCATTAGGCCATCCCACTTTTGCATGTCTCTAATCAGGCCACACCCCCTTAGTGTGTGTTTGTCATCAGGCCACACCCCTTAGTGTGTGTTTGTCATCAGTGTGTGTCTTTCATTGAGTCACTCGCCTTTTGTGTATTTAACTCATAGACCACGCCCCTTTTGTATGTCTTTAATCAGCCCACACCCTCTTGGGAGAATGTGTGTGTTCACATCTCTTGGGCTGTGTGTGTGTGTGTGTGTCTTTCGTGAGGCCACGCCCTGTTGCAGTATATTTTATTAGACCACGCCCCCTTTCATGTGTGTTTTTCATCAGGTCATGCCCTCTTGTGTCTCATCCGACCACACCCCTTTTTTCTGTCTCATCAGACCACGCCCCTTTGATAGCGTGTCTTCATTAAGCCGGGCCCTTTTGGTGTGTCTGATCAGACCACACCCCCTTGGGAGTGTGTCCATCAGGCCACACCTGTTTTTTTGAGTGTCTTCCATCAAGCCACTCACCATGGTGCATCTCCTTATTAAGACCACTCCCTGTTTGTGCATATCATTAAGCAGACCACGCCCCTTTGCTTCTCCCAAGCTATACCTGTTTTGTTCTCCACTGTCCACATTGCTGTGTGTTACCATCAGGCTCCACCCCTTTGTGTATCTCCTTTATATTCTCAGCTCCGCCCCCTTTTCTCTCTGACTCAGTAAAAGCCCCAGGTGCGTGTGTGTGCTGTCTCTTTAAGAGTGGAGGGAGAGGGTGTGCATATAAAGCCCCCCCAGACACACCTCAGCCTGAGACCTGTAGAGCACCACGGCGTCGACCTGCTCACCAGGTGAGTTAACCTGTTTACCTGCTCCGTCCTTCAGTCTCACAACAGGTGAGCTCTGAGGAACAGCATTAAAACAGCACTAGAACCTTTAGAACAGGCAGAGCTTTCGAATATTTAACTCAGAGACCTTTACAGTCTGAGTCAGAGACACGCTGTGAGACAGAATAGCCCAAAACGTCCCACACAGACATGTAGACAGATATTCCTGAAATAAGTGCCAGGTTTGTAATACATTTGCATATCATTTTGACATATATGTAAATATTAACTGCTAGTACATGTCATCACTATCGGAACAAAACCTCATATCTCATATATTGTTTTCAGTTTTCATCTTTTGATGCCATTTGAACATGGCATCTTTACACTGTGAGAAAAAAAAGTGCTTCAATGACTTAAAATCAAATATTTTTACATTTATTTACAGTAAAATTTACAAAAGTTTTTTTCTTTCTTCTGTAAAGTTGCCATTTTGGAGATGATACCAGGTTTTGTTCCCTC